AAAGTCATTCGAACAAACGGTAAAATGCGATCGATGCTAGATAATGGGTAAGTGTAAAATATATAATCATCATTTACTACGCACCAGCGCGGCGGTACATTTTATGATACATTATGTGGAAGTAATCATTTCAAGAGGGCAAACAAAAGATATTTATGAATCCCCTCCACTTTGGCAGTGATTAATCTAATAAAGCACAAAATGAGACGTCTTCATGTGTAAAAGATCTGTGGTTATTTGGGGGTCATTCATTTGTACAAGTGATATCTCAGAACTCTGACCATTCTTACATATAAATTCACTCGAGTTCAATACTTAATGGGTGCTGTGTTTTGTTTCAATTTTTTTAAATGTATTATTATTATTTTTAAACAGGAGTAATACCCGTCGTATAGTCATAGGCAGCAAGCGAAGGAGCGGGGATTGGGTGGGGTAGGAGGTGGGGGTAGGGGTGTAGGGAAGGTTACCCCACTCAAATATATTTCTTTTAAAGGAGGAGAAATAAACAGTGACTATTAACGCTTCACAACCATGTAAAGACTCTTATTCAGTGATACACTCTATCGTGATTATAGATTGAGCATCGCAATATAAAAAAATCATGTTGTTCAATAATGATCAGTATGTGTATGTAAAGATGATCTTGATTGACCAATGTCGTTTTGCTATTGATCGCAAACCTTTGTTTTACGGGGCCTAGGAATTTAGAAGGTTAGCTTTAAAATACCTAAATGAAAGAAAAATGTCAAAGCGATTATGTGTTGATATTTGCGATACACTATACGGAGTGTCATCAGGGAGGTGAGATTTTAAATGGTGTCATGTTCCTAAATGAGTGTTTTTGTTTGAAAAGTGTAATTGACATTGGAAAGGAAGCAAGGCATACCTTTCCACCGCATCCTGATGACTGTTATAGGTCAATGCCTCTTCCCCTCCCTCTCTCTCTCTCTCTCTCTCTCTCTCTCTCTCGCTCTCTCTCGCTCTCTCTCTCTCTCGTATCAATGACAACACTGATTGGTACAAATCATCACTTAACAGACAGATTAAAGGTACAATGGTCTGCATCATCCAGGTTATACACAAATTGCTCTGGCGGCATATTGCTCCGTGGTCTTCCTACAATAACCAAATTCCGCACTTCAACCCTGGACGAATTACTATACCTAACCAGAACCCTAACCTACAATATAAACCTGACTGTATTCCTAACCTTAACCCTGTATCTTGACCGCCTCCCCCCCCCCCCCCCCCAAAAAAAAAAAAAAAGTTAGAAGAAGTAAGTCCTGAGCAACATGTCGGAGAAAATGTCTGATCACTTCAACTGAATCACAATAAGACAGCTCAATGATGTACTACTTTAGTAATAAATAAACGCCAATTAGCCCAAATCAAATGATTAATATTTATTGTAACAAAGTCTTTTTTTCTACAATGTATCGATATCCACGGCAAATGAAATTTATCCTTTAAATTTGTTATCTCAAAGTAGTAGTCCATGATCAGGATATTGACGGAGCGAAAGGAGAATCTTTCCATGGCGTGGGAATATATTCACTACTATATTAGAATCTATTTCATAGATCTTGTTTGTAGTCTTTTTTAAACGATGCATCGATATATCCAAGGCAAATTGTTAAGTTCTTTGATATTTATCCTTTAAGTTGGTTATCTCAAAACAGTAGCCCATGATCAGGATATTGACGGAGCGAAAGGAGAATCTTTCCATGGCGTGCGGATATCCTGTGGGATAAGATAGGTAGTATCGGATTGTCAATCCTGTCTTCCGCTACCACGTAACTCCTTTAAAGGTAAAGACCAGTTTTGGAAACGCCCCAATTTCAAAAAATGAAATGGAAGCTCTTATTATCAATCATGTGAAAGAATTTTGTTTTGACTAATACATGATGATAAAAATTTTGCTGGGAAACCGCCTACTAATTGATATATATGGTAAAATATCATATCTATTTGGTCCTGATATATATCGCGCACATGTCGCGTTGTCCAAATTTCATCTTTCTGTGTACAGTGCTTGTAACTATACCAAGACTGGGCCAAATTTCTTATCATTTTGATGATTCCAGAACCTTGCAGTACACACCAATACTTATATGCTAGATGATCAACCTTTTCTGATCGATTCCACAACGTTTCTTTCACAATGCAATCGCATGACCATAACTGGTCTTTACCTTTAACGTTCAATCCGTCCAATCTTGCAACATGACGCCAGCATAATCATAATATACACTATGACAGGCAGGTAATACAATGAAGATTGATGTAAACAATATGGTCAGTCGGATTTTGTGTGCGGGTTTTTTGTCTATTTTTGTTGTTTACTGATCGAATGTACAGTTTTGATTATTCAGCGAGACAGAAACGGCCACCCTCAAGAAAATCCTACCATCCACCATCTAAAATGATTATTGCATTTATTTATTCTTTTATTTTAATGTTCATCAAGTTTTCAGAAAATGAAAGGATATAGATATTTGGACTACGTGGTTCTATCGGTTGACGTCTGATTCTTGCTCTGTAATTTGGTCACTATACTGTGTCTGATACAAAGGTATCTTTTGGGGGTTAATTCTTAAAAGATCGAACTTTTGGGGCCTTGATACGCTATTCGATCTTTTTAGATTCACAATGACCTTTAATGGATTGTATTTCGTGGCATTTAGTGCAGGTCATACCATACTGCATCTTTGCGCCATCTTTTCCACCAATCTATCTGTGTCTAATTCACCTGGATTTCAAGCAGTGACCATGTTTGTATGCTTCTTAATCATACTGGGTAATGCATATTATTGTGAGGGGAGTAATTGCGACTTTTTTTGTCTACTGATAGCCATGTTTGTACACACTTTATATAACTACGTGTGAAAGAGTCCCCGTTACACAGGAAGTTATGAGGGAGTTACTTACCTACTTTCATTGGCCAGAAGGGTAATACAATATAATTTAGTTTATTTTCACTTTCACACGGGAAGTACAATGGTGTATACATGTTGATACTTTTTGTTATCAGTGTGTACGTTCTATACAATACAACAAAGGTACGTACAACACCATGTATTAAACATGTTAATAGAATTATTTTGTATAGTTACAAAATATAGCACACAAACCATCTCAAATTTGGGACATAGAGTTGTTTGATTCTTCATCAACTCTCACTACTTCCATCATGGCCATGTTGTGGGTATAGGTCCATGCTAGTAATATCATGGACCTAGGAACTAACAGTATTTGCCACATATTCGCTACCTATGTATAGGATTCCCGCGCAAAACAGCGCTGATGGATCTGTCCTGTCAAAATATGTTTGAATCATGTAGCAAATGGTATTTTTTTAGCTATCTCGGGAAAGAGTTCTTTTATTTTGTGTCGTTGCACTTCCACCCTGATCAACACAGGAAGATAAACAGTACGCCGTCAGGATATCAGTAAGACGTCTTCCTTTTCAATGTATTCATGTTTCCTTGTCTAACTGAACATCAATCATTCCCCAAAGAGAATCAATTTCAAAACATAAAACAAATGTTTATTCGGCGTCACCCGTGCCTGGGAGAGAGAGCAGAGAACTTTATCACCATATCCCAGGTCTTTCCTCCTGGTGGGGAAGGCGTTTCATCACTCTAATATTTTATGTGCCATACTGCCAACATGAGATGTAAAATTTTGTTGAATACTTTTGTGTAATAGTTTATACCATAGTGATCAACGGAACCTAAAGCAGTAGCAGTTCGACAGGTGGTTTGTGGAGATCAAGCCCCCCCCCCCCCCACCTCTTAATTATAGATAAATTTCAGCGAGGCTCATGTATCAAAAAGCAAGAACCGCCAATTAGTGTCCCCACCCAATTATTCTTCTAGAATCGCCCCTGCTCCAAACAGATCAACAGATCCAAAAACGATTCTCGGCCGTTCGGTTTGAAATAAATATGTCTTGTTCGATCCGTTGTCAGTCTGGTATCGGTCTCATTGGTGCGGCTAGAGGGTAGTGGACACTTTTAGACCCTAAATTACATGCTTGTTCTGAGGCGTGTCAGACTTAGGTTAATTTCCTGTCATGAGTCTAAAAATCATAGTCGAGGGTAACTTGAAGTTCGGTGCTCATGAGATGTGAGGGATGTTTGTACTCTAAACAATGAGGTGTGACGTCTGACCAAGTCAGAGTAGGGACATCCATAATTTACAGGCCCCTGACTGATTGATTCATTGATTAATTTTATATAAAACAAAGTATAAGAAAAAAGAACCCGCTCAACAACTAGGCTGGTTTTATACAAAGGGGGCACATTGGAAATACCCACATCCAATCTCATTCTGAAACTGAAAAAAAAGAATCAATCGATGTTACTCCCCCTGCAGTTAGGTCCCAAACTGTTATTCAGAATCCGTTTAAACTCTCTATATATTTTCTGGGGATCCAAAACCAAAGGGTGGTAAGGTACCTTTCGAAGTTTGGAGGCACGAAATAAAATGCCTCCAAACAGATAATATGCAATAAAAATACAAATATATCAAAACAATACATGATAATGTTATAAGCATATTGGATGTTACAGCATAGACAATGATGTAGAGAATCGATGGTCAGAGTATAGGGGCTCAGTTTTCTACATCGGGCAGCATCTCTCAAAACCATTATACAAATTCGCTGACATTATAGATATCGGCGAGATATCCATGATCTTTGCACAGAATTAAAAGGTTTCATAATTGAGATTATGCCACGGTTTTCATGAGATCTTAACATACCCTGTCATTTTCCGCATCAATCAATGAAACAAGATTCGAAATATGAATTCCGGTATTTTGTTATGATGCTAACTTATACGACCCTAACTTATACGACCCTACTTGTTAGAATTTCGATACCCGTTATCATTGGTATTAACAAGATTTCTCTTTTTTTCTCTCTGTCTCTCTCTCTCTCTTTCTCGCTCGCTCTCTCTCTCTCTCTCTCTCTCTCTCCCTCTATCTCTCATTCTTCCCCTTCATTTCGACTTAACAGGTGTGTGGACCTTAGCAGTTATCCTGGCTCTGCCGCCGCTCACGAAGGGTTGGGGTGACTACGGCTTTCTTCCAAACCAATCATTCTGTTTCTGTCGGTGGCGAAGCAGTATCTCCTATACATTCTTCATGGTAGGTGTGTGCTTCGGTGGACCCTGCTCTGTGATGACCTTCTGTTACATCAACATCCTCAAGGTCGTCCGTCAAAGCAGGAAGCGCGTCGCCAGCAACCCGATGCCAACCATCCAGCAACGGCCGAAGACAAAAGGCTCTCCAAAGACCGAACCAAAGAAGTCGGTACCATCCTTCTGTGTCAACGGCAACACGGATACCCGGTCACCGTCAAAGGGTTCGGTTAACCCAACCGTTGATGCGGTAAATGGAGGCGATGCCCGGCAAATGCTCCGGACGCAACTGAACGACCTCCTGCGTTCTAACACGGTAGGAATGTCACAGAATAGTTTGTCGCAAAAGAATTTGTCTCAAAGTGACCATTCCGATTCGGACGATTCGCGACCTGGCAGCGTGGAGCAGAACAGGTCTCAAAGCGCAGACAGCACTCCTTTAAAAACGACTAGCCTTCGTTCACTTAGACCTAAGCCAAGAGAAATCAAATGGATCGTTCCAGAGAGAAAGTTATCTCTGGCAAGCATTATCGGATCAACATCACCACCTAAAGATGGCGAAGACAACAACAGCAACAAACTTAACGGGAGTCCTAAGGTTCAGGAAGCAACAGAAAGGAGCTCTCTCGCTCGTCTTGCCGTTCCAGTCTCCACGGACGTAGCGCGGAGAAAGCAACGAAAGAAAAACCGATCCGAATCTGAGAAGCGACGGAAAGTGGAAGAACTCAAACTCACCAAGTCTTTCTTGGTTGTCATCTTTGTCTTCGTGCTGTGCTGGTTTCCATTTTGTATCACCATGTTCTGGAGTGTTTTCTCGAAAATTGATAATGCAGTTCCACGTCCTGTAGACATGGGTACCTTGCTCTTGGGGTACTTGAACAGTTGCTGTAATCCTATCATCTACGGGGTGATGAACAAGAGATTCCGAGCAGGTTACAAGAGCGTCCTCTGCGGGTGGAGACGCAGGACGACGGATAGCAATAACACCACTTTCCAAGTAGACGGGATAAACCTCAACACATCCACCGTGGGATCGACTGGGTAAAGATAATGATGAAAGAAACAGTTAGACTTTGTCTTTACTAGTATCTCAATATGTCATTGAACCCGGTGATGGCATTTCGCACAAACTCTACACACCAGTATGCCCTTTGCACTTGTGACGTCATGTGCCTGACGTAGGACTGTTGCGTCAGAGGTTGGTGCAGCCATTGACGCACCATCCAAGAGTATCTACGTACTGAAAGCGAGTACACGCAGTAATTACCAGGTGCCAATTTACACCTGGGTGGAGAGTGGCAAATGTGGATTAATGTCTTGCCAAAGGACGTTATAGTACCGGGCTGGGATCCGAACCCTCAACCCTTGGATTCAGAGTCAAGCGAATGAACCATCATCTGTACAATGATACCTGTATTGGTTTTTTGGATAGAAAATATGACCTGCATGGAATATCTGTCATTATGATGTTAGAAGAAAAACAGACATGGAATGATTTGCCCTAAAGACTGTTATAAGAAGAAGTTTTACCAGTTTATGATTTATGTTTGTTCATTTGATCAAGACAAGTTTCAATCCAAGGTCTAGAAATAATTATTATTAATCATTATTTTGAAAACAACTCCAAAATCTTTCGATAAATCAGCCGTTGGGCAGTTTGAATATCCTTGTTAATCATTACAAAGAAGTTACTCTCTAAAAAAAATCGAGTGATCACGGACGTCACTCCTCTGGAGAGTGAAAATGTAGTGAAAATAGAGTGAACATTCACTCTTTTCTTCTTAGAGAGCACTCTAAAATCAATCGATTTTCAATTCTAAACAAGTGATCACGGACGTCACTCCCAAGAAATGAAAATAGAGTGAAAATTCACTCTTTTTTTAAAAGAGAGTACGCAGCAGTCATGATTACACTTGGCCTCCTCAAATTATCATTTGTCACCTAAACATGGTATTATGCATTATTGTGCAAATCAGGAACAGCAATTTTTATTTTCTTGCCTTGTTTTTTCATTGTTCAATATGTTTGTCACTGTTCAATATGCTTGTCACTGTTTCAATATGTTTACTGTGAATTTGTTAATTTTGTCAATTTTATACTCAATGCATAATTATCAAGAAGGTGGACTTCAGATGATTGATAAAACTATTTTTTGTTTAAAATTTGTTAATTTTATGCAACACGAAGTCATGTGAACATTCCTTTTTGTATACAGAAATGTCAACTATTTTTTACTCGACGTGAACACAATAAAATGACAGAGAAAACAATTAGTTGATGTAAGTAGACATCAGAGTATGACCGTGACTACTTTTACGTCCAATCAAAAAGAAATACAGGCCTTTAAAAAGTAAAAAGAGAGTGTAAAGCGAATTTTTCAGAAAGAAACATACAGACATGCATTGTCATTGATAAACAGAGAGATAAAGAGAAAGAAAGAGATAGAGAGATGGGGCAGAGAGATAGAGAGAGAGAGAGAGAGAGAGATGACAGATAGATGACAGAGAGAGGGAGAGAGAGATGTCAAGACAGAGACAAAGAGAGAGAGAGAGATGGGACAGAGAGAGAGAGAGAGAGAGAGAGATGGCAGATAGATGACAGAGAGAGGGAGAGAGAGATGTCAAGACAGAGACAAAGAGATAGAGAGATGGGGCAGAGAGAGAGAGAGAGAGAGAGATGGCAGATAGATGACAGAGAGAGGGAGAGAGAGATGTCAAGACAGAGACAAAGAGAGAGAGAGAGATGGGACAGAGAGAGAGAGAGAGAGAGAGAGAGAGGGAGAAGGGGAGCGACATAGAGGGCATAAAGAGAAATGAGAAGACAGAGACAGTGATAACGAGAGAGAGGGAGAGAGAAAAAGAGAGATGGGACATGGAGAGAGGAAAAAAGAGAGAAACAATAGGGAGCAGAGAGAGGGGGAGCTGGCGATGGGAGTGGGAGGGGGATACAAAGTGGAAAGCAGAAGGAGGGGGGGGGGAGAATTGATGAAAAGAGAAGGGACAACCAAAAAGAAAAAAGTCAAAAGAAATGGCCAAGAAGACAATATGTCATAGCTATTTTACGTCATCGAAATTCATTTGACTGTACCGTGCGTCAATTTATGGATTTCTATGTTTTGTGTATGGCCCTAAACAAGATTAATTTAAACTTCAGCTCAATAAGAGAAACAAGAAATTGTGACCAGTTTTCTGATCTTTGTATTCACTTTTCTTCTCTTATTCGAATGCACGAAAATTGCTCTTTTCTCTAACATGCCTAATGAAAATATTCGATTATACGCGCACATTTAATGTATTTATAGCAAGATAGCAACGACAAGCAAGAACAATGAAATCCATGAAATGTTCAGTACCAAGCCGATAAAACAGATCCTCGAAGGGTACATCACATAGTTGCTACTTTCCGCTGGAGAGATTTCAAATCCACACACACAAAGGGGAAACAGAAGACAACAATTATTATTATTATTTTTTTTATTTTTACTAGAGTTGCTTACATTTCTGCCCAGTGTTAAAACAATCTTATTTAATATTATATCATGCATCAGAAATGTATTGGTTATTGATTGGTTGAGAGCTGTCACATGAGCAGAATTATTCCATCTATTTTAAGGTTGCTCTTTTTTTCTTTCTTTTCTTCTTCTTTTCAAATCTTAATCAATTTAATGAAAACAAAATATTTAAATTTTTTTTGATACAAATTTTCAATTTATTTCTTATTATAAATTTTTGATGCAGGATATAAAAGAAATATACCATGCCTTCTATTCGAGGTACTGGTTTGAACTATGGGCCTCGGTGACTCCAAAAATACCATTTGCTTCGGGGCTGCGCCCCTGCGACCCTCAGCAAATAGTGCTATTGGAGTCACCTCTTGCGCATAGTTTTAACCAGAACCTCTCAAGACAGTGTATATTTACAGGTACAGGCTAAAAGAAAGAGAGAGAGAGAGAGAGAGAGAGAGAGAGAGAGAGAGAGAGAGAGAGAGGAAGGAGACGGATGTTGACTTTTGTTTGCCTATATTTTAATTCTTTTAAATATTTGCTTGTGCCCTCCCCCCCCCCCCCCTTGATCCGCCATATAGAGGAAGACATAGTGATAATGTTATTTAACTTTTCAAACAGGAAGAAACAAACATCCCTCCCCCAAAACAAATAAACAAATATATATATATATATATATATATATATATATATATATATATATATATATATATATATATATATATATATGTATATTTTAAAAAAAATATGAATAAGTGAAAAATAGATTGATAAATAAATAGATCAAAATATAAATTATATCTTCATAAAGGAAAGAAAAAAGGAAAACGCTCCGCCAAGGTAGGTACTTAACATATATCGCTAGATGGCGCTATCCCAAACTACTAGTACAAGGTAGAGAGGATGTACCTCGTAATCTAGGAAATAAAAGAGCAGTTTGCATTCGACCCGAGGAGAGGTCAACTTCCAAATTGAAAATGATATTTAAATATATTTAAGTTTGGGCATTATGATTGTCCGAACCCCTCCAGATGCCTCTACACTTGGAGAAGAGTCAAGCTACAACTATTGATTCATGTTGTAGGGACTTGTGGGGGCAAGCGGCAGGGTGGGGGAGGGCAAGCGGCAGGGTGGGGGAGGGCAAGCGGCAGGGTGGGGGAGGGGGCTATCAAATCCTTATCAGGGTTAAAGTTGTTGTCAATATTTGAGGCCCCATGTTTATAGAGGAGAGTCACCACCCAGTGTACTATTCGTATGAGAGTAGGGGGAAACCCCTGTGCAATGGTCCACTTGCACATCCCAAGCTGTGCGTAAAGTTACGAATGACTTTACAAATGATATTCATAATTTCATATGAAGCGCAAAAGGGGATGCCCCATGTTTTTCCTGATATTTTAACAAAGTGTGACTGTATTTCGGTATTTCCCATAATGTCAGTTGTAGCCAAAAATACACTTTGCATTAAAATGTTTTGTTAATAATGATAACCCAGATAGCAAAATGTTGTGGGGCCCATCTGGGTTTTATCTGGTTACAACTGGGCTGGCCCACTTGGCCCAGATGGGCCAGCCCATCTATTGCCCACTTGGCCCATTTGGCCCAGATGGGTCCCAGATGGGCCCCATGTGGGGCCCAGCAATCTGCACCCGGGTTATAGAAGGGCCCCAGATGGGCGGCCCAGATTGGACCCACTTGGCCCACATGGGCCCACGTGGAACCCAGATGGACCCCACAATTTGCCCATCAATATACACAAGGGTTACCTACTGGGCACCAGATGGGCCATGTGGGTTTTATGTGGGACCTACCACATTCTATATATGGGTCAAGTGGGTTTTATATGGGCCCCATATGGGCTATAAGCGGGTTTATATATGGGATCCATTTGGGCCAAGTGGGTTTGATCTGGTCCCATACACTCTAAGAAAAAAGGGTGCAAAAAAGGGTGCAAAATAAGAGTTTGCACGCTTTACATAAAAATGAACCCTATTGAAGGAAAAGGGGTTAAAAAAAGGGTGCAATATAAGATTTTGCACCCTTCCCACAAAAATGAACCCTAACAACCCAAAAAGGTGCAAAATAAAAGTTTGCATATTGCATGCATATTCATGATTACTTTCCACGTGTTCACATGAAAATACAGTTATCATATGATTTGTTAAGCAAATTATGACAATGCAATTCAATTTTGTGATTTGTATTTTCCTTCGGCAATCATTAACCAATAGATTATTTTGTCTGATCATGTTACAATTAAATTCACGTTTTAGCAATATATATATATTGATTATATGATTACTAACCAAGAAACATCATGCATGTTTAATATGTATATGTGTACGAGCAAATGTCACGAGTATTCCTCGATGATGGGTGCAGGATTGCACCTTTTAAAGGGTGCATGAACCCCTTAAGGTGCTGCTAATGCATCGGTTTGCACCCCTAAAGGAGCAGGATTGAACCTTTAAGGGTACTAACATGTCTCCTAAAAGGTCCCTTCTGGCACCCTCCTAAAGGGTGCAGGATTTAACCCCTAAAGGTGCTGCTATTGTTGCATCGGTTTGCACCCCTAAAGGAGCAGGATTGAACCTTTAAGGGTACTAACATTTCCCCCAAAAGGTTCAATCTGGCACCCTTTTGAAGGGTGCAGGATTGCACCTTTAAAAAGGGTGCAGGATTTAACCCCTAATGGTGCTGCTATTGTTGCATCGGTTTGAACCCCTAAAGGTGCATAGTTGCACCATTTTTTCTTAGTGTGTATGGGTAAATTTGGTTTAAATGGGCTTCATATCGTTGGGTTCTATTTTTACCCAGTTGAATTCATTTATCCCATTTCAGTATACAGGGTTACCAGTTGGGTTTAACTGGACCAGTCGTACCATTTGGCACAACTTTCAACCAGTTAAAAGCTCCAATTAGCAAACTTAATTAGTAGCTTATGTAGCACTTGTACTAATTAATTTTGCCAATAGCAACAACACATCGTCTAAAATTCCCAATGTAAAGGCATTGGTGTTAAGAAGACTTTGTTAATTTACTGTGATGAGACATTCCCATATACTTGTATTTTATTGAATCTGTTTTAGATCATAGTTAGTGTTTTTCCTAATTCATGTTTAATTAAATGGAATTTATACAAAGTAGTGAAATGTCCTAAATATTAGCAATTTACATTTTGTAGTATTTTCGAAATGAATTGCATATAACTAAATCATCAGTAATTAGGAAATATCCTGTAAATTCAGATAAATTGTAAAAAAACATAGATGTTCACGCACCCCATATTCATTATGCAAATTCTGGGATATATTTGTGGGTTTTGGGTGGGAAGGCCCATCTGGTTTACATCTGGTTTTTAGCTGGGCCCGGCCGATGCTCGATGTACAACTTTCACCACCAAAAGACCCACATGGGGCCCACATGGGGCCCACATGTGTTGGTATACATGTGGGTTTTGGGTGGGAATGCCAATATGGGTTTTTTATGGGCCACGTGGGCTCCATATACTTGTGGTTCTGGGTGGGAAGGCCCATCTGGTATACATCTGGTTTTCAGCTGGGCGAAGACAATGTTCAACATGCAATTTTCACCACCAGAAAAAACATGGGGCCCATATGGGGCCTATATGTGTTGGTACTTGTGGGTTCTGGATGGGAAGGCCCATCTGGTATTCATCTGGTTTTTATATGGGCCACGTGGGCTCCGTATACCTGTGGTTTCTTGGTGGGAAGGCCCATCTGGTATACATCTGGTTTTCAGCTGGGCCCAGCCGATGTTCGACGTGCGATTTTCACCACCAAAAACCCACATGGGGCCCATATGGGGCCCATACTTGTGGGTTCTTGGTGGGAAGGCCCACCTGGTATACGCCTGGATTTTAGCTGGGCCCAGCCGATGTTCGACGTGCGATTTTCACCACCAAAAACCCACATGGGGCCCACATGGGGCCCATATGCGAGGGTTCTGGGTGGGAACGCCCATCTGGTATACATCTGGTTTTTGTATGGGCCACGTGGGCTTTAGTCAGCCCATACAAAACCCAGATGGGCCCCAGATATTTTGCTATCTGGGAAGGTTAATCTACATCTGCATACTTTAACTTTAGCTTATGCAATTAAAAGGATTTGAGAATCCCATTTAGCACTTCATATTCAATTCATATTCAATTCATTTGTAAAGTCATGCGTAACTTTACGCACAGCTTTATGAAACACCCCCCCCCCCCCCCCCCCCCCAGCTAGGAGAAACCATTAAAGTACTAGTTGGAGAAACCAAAGGGGTTATAGAGTGATTCAGTTTGCTTTTCACCTCCCAGGCAAAGGTGAGACCAAATACTTCTACTGCAAATAATATTGATTATAATGTTAATACTAAGAATGGTATCATTATTATCATCATCATCATTATCATCATCATCGTCATCATCATGATCACCTCCATCATCAATATTATTATTGTTAAAGGTAAAGACCAGTTATGGTCATGCGATTGCATTGTGAAAGAAACGTTGTGGAATCGATCAGAAAAGGTTGATCATCTAGGCATCTAGCATCTGCAAGGTTCTGGAATCATCAAAATGATAAGAAATTTGGCCCATTCTTCGTAAAGTTACAAGCACTATACACAGAAAGATGTATATGGGACTACCCTATATCTCTCACAGACCATGAGAGAAACAAATTTACCAAATATATGAATTAGTAGGCGGTTTCCCGGCAAAATTTGTATCATCATGTATTAGTCAAAACATATTCTTTCACATGATTGGTAATGAGAGCTTCCATTTCATTTTTTGAAATTGGGGCGTTTCCAATACTGGTCTTTATCTTTATCATTATTATTATTACTATTACAATAGGCAAAATAACGAAATCAAATATTAAACATGAGTTCCTGACAGAAATAAAGAGAGTGAACACTCGTTTTACTTAGACTTTTGCTCCATGTCCCTTTATACCGACTGACCGACTCTGTTAATCAACATAATTCTTGATGACAGTAACGGCAACGAGTCGAATAGCAACATTCTGAAAATGATTCGTAACCACACTTGACTAAATGTATTATATATTGGGTAATGAGGCAACTCTCCTTGAAATATGGTTGTAAAGACTTTCAAGAAATCAATGTGAGGCGTTTGAAATAATACATTATGATGACGCATCACCTAAAGACCATTTTTGGAAACGCCCCCCTCTCAAAAAATGAAATGGAAGCATTACCAATCATGTGAGAGAATATGTTTTGACTAATACGTATAGATACAAATGTTGCCGAGAAACCGCCTACTGATTGATAAATTTGGTGAAATATTATATCTATTTGGACCTGAAAGATATAACGCACGTGTCGCGCACGTATCGCGTAGTCCCATATACATCTTTCTGTGTACATTGCTTGTAACTTTACCAAGACTGGGCCAAATTTCCGATCATTTTGATGATTCCAGAACCTTGCAGTACACACCAATACTTATATGCTAGATGATCAACCTTTTCTGATCGATTCCACAATGTTTCTTTCACAATGCAATCGCATGACCATAACTGGTCTTTATCTTTAAATCCAAACAGGATTTCTCACTTTTCGGGGATATAATGACACAGTAGCGAAATCGCCTTTTAGTCCATTTCTCGAAAGTATTTGCAATTGTTATTTGGTCATTTTCCGTCATTGCTCGATCGAGCCTTGTTCGAGAGCCAATAATTTACATTGGTTTAGCTGGATGGAGAAGAACAGATTTCATAATACTCCAAATAGAAAAAGAATCAACCAAGCTTTTCCCAATTTTATATCAGATATAAGAAACCCTCATGATTCAGTCATCCATGTTCAAAACATTCATTAACACATGGCTGATATGTATATATTGCTCTCTTGCATTTTAACTTTAATTTTCTGCAGCGATTAGTTCAGATCTATAGATACATGTATTATGTATACCTTTATCTAAGAATATGCAACATTGGTTATGTACAAGTGCACGATGAAGTCTTTACCCTACACAGACTGTTGTCGGTACATATTATATAGCTCACTATTTCTACGAATAGAACGCTACTGTTGTATCTAATTAATTTCTATTTTGTACTAATATATTCTTCAAATGGTGAATTCTAAAACAAATACATACATGTATGAAGACTAATTTAATACCAGGAACAATGAACCGTGTAAGATTGTCCGTCGGTGATCAACAGGGAAATGGCAACCGACACTGTATGGACAGACATGGCATTAACCAACACTGTATGGACAGATATGGCATTAACCAACACTGTATGGACAGACATGGCAACCGACACTGTATGGACAGACATGGCATTAACCAACACTGTATGGACAGATATGGCATTAACCAACACTGTATGGACAGACATGGCAACCGACACTGTATGGACAGACATGGCATTAACCAACACTGTATGGACAGACACGGCAACCGACACTGTATGGACAGACATGGCATTAACCAACACTGTATGGACAGATATGGCAACCGACACTGTATGGACAGACATGGCAACCGACACTGTATGGACAGACATGGCATTAACCAACACTGTATGGACAGACACGGCAACCGACACTGTATGGACAGACATGGCAACCGACACTGTATGGACAGACATGGCATTAACCAACACTGTATGGACAGATATGGCAACCAACACTGTATGGACATACATGGTAACCAACACTGTATGGACAGACATGGCATTATTTTACAAAGCTGCCACAAGTACAAGTTTACATTACATTGATAAGGAGTGTTCATGTATTAATATAACACCTGTGTACCGCATGTTAATTTTGATACACAGCATCAGCAAACTTGTACTTAAGACGGTCTTGTTAAACGTCACACTGATACAGAATGGGTCAACAAGTTTTGATTTTGAAAGCAACTACCATGGTATTAAATTGGGAGAAAAACGTTTCTATCCATTGTTGGGTATCACCACTGGATGAAAGTGGACACAAACACATGATACAGCAAAACCTTGCTATAACAAACTCCCTCAAAATCTTGTTCAACAGGGCTTATCGCATTAGAATACAAACAAAGAACCAAGCCTGGAAAGTCTACCTTGTTATGACTGCATTTTGTTTCAATTCAGTTTACCGGTAGCTCAATTTAAAATGGCGTTTATCAAAAAGAAAACCCTGCGTCACAACGTTAGTGTTGAATTGTACATAATTTACGAATAAAAAGATTTTAAAAAACTTTAAAAAGTAACAAACTTATTAAACGTTCAAATGATTTTAGAACAGTGTTCATACTTCGTTATACCAAGGTTCTACTGTACCTTATTACAAAGGGACTACATAACACCCAGATTATCATTAATAGTTTTGTCAAGAGTTGTTCAGTTTCTTTCAAATGTGTTGATATCCTCCATGAGTTTTGTATCACATGATACAGAACACATGGAGGATATCAACAGTTTGAAGGCATGTGAAGATTCAGATCTCCATTTATAGTCAAAACACACATTTGAAAGAAACTGAACTCTTGACAAAACTATTAATGATAATCTGGGTGTCTAGATTAGAGCCTGCGGGGTGTTAGCTCTGCAAGACCTCCCGGGTGCCAGCAGATGGACAGGTACATTTAACATGATTCATAAAGATTTAGAGTGAAATCTAAGTTCGATTACGAAGCCTTAAAAAAAGATATTGTATTGCCCTTCAGGTGCCAAAACATGGGTCGGTCAGAAATCTTTTTTTCCTCCCTCTTTGGGCTGACATTTCTCAGTTTTGAATGCTTTAATAATCTTTTTTTTAAAAGGCCGACCGTAGATTTCAAGATTTTGGGGTCGGTCGCAAAGGGCAATATATCTCTTTTTTTCTTAAGGCCTAATTGCAAGGCAATGTGTTGATGATACAGGTACAATAAGGTTCTAAATCCCAAATAATGCCAGTAATGTTACGAGTCAATACAACATTTACACAAAACAGAGAAAAGAGAACAATTTCTTTACGTTGAATTTGAACAAATTTAATCTAAAAGCGGTGTATCAAATACAAGTAGTATTGAATTACATAGAATGATAATTTGTCAAAACATACATGTGGTATACATCTGCCCATTATAAGCAATCTTTTTTTGTGACATAAATAAACGTGTTAAATTTGGAACGTTACACCGTTCCATATGAGAAGCCAGAAACATGATTACAAAAAGGCTGTACGATCATAATAAAAATACATACCCTCTGTATACGGCTGTCCTAAATTTTGCTTTTGATCATGCTAAATAGTTAATATTTTCCGTCAGTAACCTATTTCAAATCTGTTCACATGCAGTCTACAGGTTATATACACTGAATCTACTTAGGGTTATTCGTTTCAACTAGTTTTTAAACTGGGCACTGGCAGCATCTTACTCGTACAGTCGATAAATTGAAGACTTTTCATAATTCCATATACATGAAGTGTAAATAGTTAAACCGACACCAATAATCCTTCTGCCCTTAAAGGCATGAATATGTATAATAATACACATGTACAAGTGTACATTCTAATGCATGGCTAAACTACACTGATTGAATTGGAACCAAATACTGATTGACTCAAAAACGGCCACTACTGATTGATTGAATTGGAACGAACTACAGAATGTCTCAAAAAACGGCAATCTATTCTCACACGTACACCTGAGAGGATTGACTCACTTCAGAACACATCAACACAAGACTGTCTTCAAAGAAACAAACAAGCCCTCATCAGACTACTTTGGAAGATACAGCATTTCATGCTAAGAGAATGATTACCCTGTCCCTCTCTACACACCCCCCCCCCCCCCCCCCCCCCAACAAAACAAAATACTTGCCAAAATACACTTTGGCTATACAGCATTAAAAGGAAAAAATTGATAAAGCAGGTTATTGATTGTCATGTCTGCTCTGACTTTTTCTTTTTTGCTAAGGGGGGGGGGGGGGGGATTTTTGTCATTCAGACCAAAAAAGTGGAGTTTTCAATCGCATAAAGTCTGGGATTTTGCCTGGTTAGGCACACCAGTTTGAGCACAAACATTCTAGTTTTCATAATTTTATATTTTTTTATATTTCTCTTTGAGAACAAAAAAATAAAGCCACTGTATGCATTGAACACGATTCCCACAATTTCTGATTGTGATTGATCACAATCAAACTATTTTTCAATTTGACAAAACATGAAACAAGAACTTGGGATGATTCGTAACACCATCCATACATAATCTTAAGGACAAAAACAAAATTTGGGGGAAAATAAAAGAGGGAGACAAAGAGAAAAAAAGAATGTACAATAGTTTTTTTCTTTTCACATATTCTCTGTAGAGAGAAATACCCGAGGAATAGAAATAAAAATTTTAAATAAAATAAAAAATTACAGTGGAACCTCGTCATAACAAACTCCTTGGGACTAAGGACATTGCTTTGAAATTTCATTATATCAGGGTTTAAAAAAATATTAAAAAATTTAAAAAATACCAAAGAAGTGGGCCAAATATATTTCCTTTATCACAAGGTTCCAGCGTAATGATAATAATACTTCTTTGATAAATCTGTGGCGTGTTATTCAGAATCATTAAGATCACTCTTTTTTAAAATAATATCAATTGTTTGTCTTGGTGGTGGAAGTCTTCATATGCCTAAAACCACAATCCCCATTGAAATTACTCAGTATTTATAACCCTCTAAGTCTTCTTTTGAAGGAATGGGTTAAGAACTGGTCTCCTAAAGGCCAGAAGGGTGTTACCAAAGCGAAATGCCATTTGAGCCTTCTGGCTCTTAGCAGACAATAAACACGTCTTAACCTTTCATAGGGTGTTCTACGCCAGCAGATGATTCTGATCAACTTCTGTTTTTAGTTTTTAGAATGCATTTACAAATTGTTATCACTGCACGACGACCCGATGGTTCAATCTATATCTGCTGGAGAGACCTTGCACAGCAGCGAAGACTGACTGGGGTCAAATTAAGCAAATAGAATGTGTGTGTTCAGTCTTCTGATACCAGTATACTTATGCTTACAGATGACAATCTTTAACATTAATAACAGACTAAATAAAGCCTAATGTCCATCAAAGATTTTCTGTCTGAAAAAATATGAATTATTTCTGTGAAAATGAAGAAAATCTTGACCTAGAACTTCTATGGGAGATTCTGACAACATGTTTCTTTTTTTCCCCTGAAGTTTGTGAATGTTCAATGATTCCATGAGTGGACCGGTTTCTGGACAATGGAGAAAATCAGAAAGAAAAAAAAAAGAGAAAAAAGTTGTACAACTTTGGATGAGCCTGTGCACAAGCTAGGCGGTGCTGACTTCTTGGCCACTGATTGGCTGCCCTGTGGTCACATGATATCCAATAGCTGTTCTAAGTGGGACAGACCTTGGTTGCCACGACCATTTCTTCGCCCATTGCTGACAGGACAGTGCACTGTGAACACAGAAAAAGAAAACAACAAATTTTAAATCAAGTCCAACCAAGGAAATTTATGCATTCATTCATTCATCTACATGTGATATTCCCTAACCCTATGGTTTCTATTATTGCGTCGGTGCCAGTGAGTGATAAGGCTACGGCATGGGGCATACCATGCCTCTGCACTCCATTCAAGCAGAGCTGCGGATAATGACGTCATCTTTCAAGTAATATCCATATTTCCATGGTTGAATAAAGCAAATTATTAGTTCCTTAATAAAACAATTTTATTTTCTCAAGTATTTCTATATAATAACAAAACTTTATAATTTGTTATACTTAGAAAAGGTATTTAGTTTTTACAAGTTACAACTTTATGTCAAGTTTTCAATGTTAAAATATCAACTTCAAATGAGAGAAAAATCCTAGGTAAGTACATTTCTCACTGCATATCCTAAAATCAAAACCATTCTTGCATGCAACTAATATATATTCCAAAAAACAAAAAACTTAAATAGAATAGTTAACATTCCTTCCATTCTTTTGGTTGTTTTATTATTTTTCAGCTCGGATCAAATAGGTTTCCGATTTGATTACAGCTCTATCTGATAGTACATTGCAATGACCCTGAAACAAAACCTGAAATCACTGTATATTCGTAGGATTACTAACAAAAGGCTCGAGTATCTTGTCAAAGCAACATTTCTTTCCAATGTAGAATCACCCATAGGCAACCGCATACAAAATCAACAATAATGTACTCACATTAAATGGTTCACCTATTTCGGCCTTCTTTTTAATTTCTTTGCCGATATCACTATCAGGGAGTTTAATATCACTTCGCATTTCACCAGCGTCATTCATTAGGGATAGATAACCATCCTCTATATCCACAAACTATGGTACAAATGAGAAAAGAGAGATTTAAAACATACAAAGATAATCAACATCTGGTAATGATAAACAAGACAAATGCGAATGTGTCTACTATATGCCTCTGCCCTAAATTAAGTAGGCCTGAGTCGAAACGGGTCCCTGCCCGGGCCCTGACCGTCGAGCTGAAACCCGGTTTTTGGTTTTCGGGTTGGGGTGACAAGTGTCAGATATTTAAATAAATCAACATTTTTCTTTTAAAGATGAAAAGTCACATTTTAAGAGGCGATATCCTTTTATCTAAATATGATAAAATCATACTGGTTGGTACCTCTGAAAGTGTATAGGGGATGAGTAATGAGCATAGAAAGTTACATAGGCCTGTTACCATGTGCTTAAAGGTAATACAAAGTTTTGGTATGGGGTCATGAAGTTGGTTCAAATTAATATATTGGAAGCATATGCGATCCTACAATATTCAGTGATCGTTGTCACGTTTGAAATCGAGTCTTATGTTATGAAATTGTAAATAATACACTCTTTATGTTGTATAGCTCCCTCTCAAGGTCAAGTTTTAATTAAGCTTTAAAACAATGTTTCTTGACTAAAATCGACCAATTTCAGCTATTTCCGTTTGGAAACTATATATCGCAACTACATATTCTGAAATTGTCATGGTCGCAGCTACCACCGCTATTCGAAATTAATCAAAATTTACCGGGAGCACCGGTAAATGTTTATATTCAATTTTACTCAAAAGCAGAAGTGTTTCAGGTGCTTAACTTTCTAGTGATTATAATACATCCACAGGGGCATTCAAATATATCAAAATTGTAAAGAATCACTATCCACCCAATTTTCAAAAATTCCTAAAACTTTGTATTACCTTTAACACAGGTAACCATGTGCTTTACACAGGTTACTATGTGCAAATGAGATTTATTTCCTTTTATTGAAGTTCCAGCAAATTTTTGTTAGTTTGTTTTTCTTTTAATGATTTAAACAATCAATCTACTGCAGGATAAACAATCCAAAATGAATTATAGCCATGCTCTCTCGACATGCGATTCCCATACCAGAGCTCAAGATTAGCGTTTAACATTATCAATGAGGTCTGACCAGGGACCCGTTTCACAAAGCCTTTTTTCAACGACAAATCTGCTGATGACCAATCAGAAGTAAGGATTTCAGTAGCTTATAACAGCAACTGCCATTCGTCACTGATGACAAGTTTTGTGAAACACCCCCCAGGACTAGATGCTTATTACTCACCTGCAAATCCTTGCGTGTTACGTGAGGAACGTTCATGTTATGGGTGGATGGGCAAATATCTTCATATTTTTTTGAAGTGAATATGTCCAAAGCAACAAGATGAACCTGTATGGGAAATTGGAAGTAAGAAAAAAAAAGAATTGAAAAGGTTGGAGATGTTGTCCAATATATGCTCCAGCGACACGACATGTACTTTAAAAAAAGGAATTTTCTAAAGGTGTCACTGATCAACATGCAAAGTGGCAACTCAGTTATGTACCTTATTTCCCATTCTCTCTGTACATAAAAATGAAAACATTTCCATTTTCTCTATAGAATATGTATAGGTACATGTACTGATTAATTACATAATCCATTATGTGATACATCTACCACTACAAACCAAGAAAATGGAAATTCCTCAAAATTTAAGTACAAAGCAAACAGAAAAGATGTACGAAATGAGTGTTTGACAGACTACACCTTTAAAATTGTTTTTTCTTAAGATATTCTTTAAATTTTCCCTTATCTTTTTTTTCTCCCTTCAATATCTAGTAAAAATCCCCTCTAACCTTATCTAGCCAGGGCTATTTTGAAACTGCATAACCCCCCCTCCCCACTATGATCTCGGCCGTAAAACAGCCGATCGCCGCAAAAATTTGCATGCATGTCAAGTAAAGTGAATAGATTACTATGGTAATTTATGCAAATAAGGTAATAACATTCACATTTTTACCCATAAATCATATATTCTTCATATTTAAACATTAGTTTTCACTACATATATTCTTTAGACCATTTGGGATAATAACAAAACAAAAGAAATTGGAAGAGCCAGGTTATTCCTAAAGTTTTCTATTGATTTGATAATTTCTTTGTTTTTTTAATTAATGTATTTTATTGTTTTTGTTGTTATATTTTAATTCTGACTATAATGAACCCCAAAATAAACACCTAAACAATAAACAAGACCAAATAACCAATGTTAAATCTCTTTTAAAAAAATGAGATTCCTATATGTTTTGTACACAAATCACGAAAATGAGATTCTTTCACGTTAAACATTATCCCGAAAAGTGTAGAGGGGGGGGGGGGGGGGGGGGGGGGGGCTAGATAGGGTTAAACCTGCAGTGAACATATAAATTTGAAAATATCACATATAAAACAATTACATTTGGTGAAAACAGACAAAATTGACAGGTGAATTCATCAGTACGTAATCTCTAAGTGAACTAAAATATAGGCTTGAGTCGGTACGGTCGATCACACCGGGACCCGACCGTTGCCGTCGGGTCCCGGTTTCGTTTTTTTGAGAACCGACGCTCCGAAAAAAATAATGAAATATGTAAGAAATTGCAGTTTTGCACACCACTAAAATCAATCCACCTTAAAACTAAAGTATTTAATTGTTACCAATAATATTCTAGCTCATCCTGAATCAATCCGAACTGCTGATATAAATATGGGTTGCAAAGCAGTTCGCCCCATGGGGTTGTTGTTGCCAGCTAGCTGCTAGCTAGCCTATAATCTAGGCGGAGTGCCGAGCTTTTTTCTTTGCTGCTAGACTAACCCTAAGCAGAACGTCTGATACGGCGAGACTACGAACCGTGAGTCGCGAAGCGGCTCACCGCCTATAATCACTGGTCTAGATAATCAATATTCATATATTCAAAATGGCGGATCTATGAATCATTCAACAGCCCTACCAAATAAGGTACACCTATGTTACGTTCGACCAATCAGATATAAGAAACCGCAACGAAACAACGACTAAAGCTAGAATCCGTGGTCGCGTAGAAAATCACAGCACAAGGGGCCCTTGCTTGGTATATTGCACTCTTTCCAAAACCAGTAGGTAATGCAACAAAAATATCCCTGCCGGCTTCAGTAACGCTACGAATAGCGGATTCCTGCAGTTCTCTGAATTTTCCATTAGGAATGCCTAGTTTGTTGGCCGCATATGATAAACTTTCTCGCAGAAGATCGTCGTCGCATGAACTACCCGCCATCTTGGATGAAGAAAATGACGTAATGTCACATGATTTATAATATGCATATGCATAGACTCTTCTCCATACGTGTTTCTGATTGGTTGAGTTCATTTCGTATTCATGAGGTTTTTTCGTACGAAAAACTGCCACGGATTCATGGTCGATAATAAAAAAACAACGACTAAAGCTAGACCAGTGATTATAGGCGGTGAGCCGCTTCGCGGCTCACGGTTCGTAGTCTCGCCGTATCAGACGTTCTGCTTAAGGTTAGTCTTGCAGCAAAGAAAAAAGCTAGGCACTCCGCCTAGATTATAGGCTAGCTGCTAGCTAGCTACTGTATTGGCCGGGTCTCTCGGCAGGATTAATAAATCAGGTTGAAAGAAACATTAATGTTTGAATAATAAAACGGCTTTCTAAAACGTACTTCTTTACAACATACCGATCAAATATTTTTTAAAAGACAAAATAGATATTTTTTTCTTTGATTTTGAACACCGCATGCTTCTTTTAACCCTTACTGTACTGGGCTATTTCGAGCACTCTCTGACTGGGGGGGGGGGGGGGCCTGGGAGGCCCCCCCCCCCTATGATCTCGGCCGTCGAATGTCTGATGAACGTGAAAATTTGCATGTTTGTAGATATTTACGTAAGGAACAAGATGGTATAATTAGTTTTTCGCTAATATGCAAATTTTTTTTCGTTATAGCCTAATTAATTATGCAAAATGCTAATTTTATGCATTTTACAGAAAACTCTACATATTTGTCCGTAGACTTGTGAAGAATCTTGAAAATGTATTGAATAAATGTTTCCTTCATCTCAAATTCATGAGGTTTCATTATTTTTATGATATTTGAAAATCAATAGGTTAATTTGCATAAATTATGAATATGCATTCATGAATATCAAATCCGTAAATATATCTCGGGAACTAGAATCCTTACAAAAATTGTCAGACTCCACTTTTTGAATGTTGTTACTCATTATTCAAATGAAACTTCTTTTCTATCACAAAAATGTTATTTGAAGTAATTAATAATGATAATTTATGCAAATTTGATGCGATTTTCAACTATATATTTTCTTATGTATTTTATTGTTTTTTATTTCTTATTATATCTATTGTTTTATTTCTAATGTATTCTTTTGTTCTGAAATACATCAAGTTACTTTGAGAAACATATAAAAGCAATTTGATATCAATTCATAGCTTCACATTTCTGCTTGTACATGAATATATGCAATTAAAGCACTTTTTTTGATGACATGCGCATACTAATTGTTATGTAACACCCTACAGGTATATCCGATTTTGACGAAAATGGTATCAAAATGTGCGTAAGACTTGAGGGAAAAAAGTCATGAAACGACAATTCAAAATTCTGAGCGGTTGCGGCGCAATCTCTGAAAATGTCGAGGGGGGGGGGGGCCTCCCAGGCCCCCCCCCCCCCCAGTACAGTAAGGGTTAAAAGCTGAAAATTACTTGGTAATCACAAGAAGTTTCGATACAGATAGCTGTTGCAGGGCAAGTTCAGACTAGTCTCAGAAAATTGCGCAGTCCACCTGGTTCGCTGTAATGCGTGCCAGAACGAACCCAAACAAAGACGTGATCGTAACGAGAAAAAAAATCATTAAAAACTACGAGAGCACAATTGGAAAGACAACTACTCAAAATTATCGTAGGCAGATACATAACTTGGAGGAAGAATACAATTGTCCAAGAAAAGCCACATACATGTAAATAGTGATATTTAAGGAGTTACTATAGGTACAATCATTATCGGAAGGGCCTAGCTGCTGTGATATCCGAATTACACGTGTTTAAATTGAACATGAGGCTAGAAACCAAATAAGGCCCTTTACGGTAAAAAGCAGTATAACAAAGGATTCAAGTATTTGCAGCAAGACCCTTGCGATAAAAATGTACCCAGTTACTCCTCGATTATCACAATTTCTGTGGCATTTCTTGGGCGATTATTTAATTCTTTGTCCAAGTTATGTATCTGATTATGGTAATATTGAGCAGTAGTTGTCTTTCCAATTGTGCTCTCGTAGTTTTTAATGATTTTTTTCTCGTTACGATCACGTCTTTGTTTGGGTTCTTTCTGGCACGCATTACAGCTAATGACCAGGAGCACTGCGCATTTTTCCGAGACTAGTCTGAACTTGCCTTGCAACAGCTATCCGTATCGAAACTTCTTGTGATTACCAAGTAATTTTCAGTTTTTTAAAAAAAGCATGCGATGTTTGAAATAAGAGATAAATATTTATTTTGTCTTTAAAATATTATATGATCGGTATATTTTACAGAAGAATTTTTTAGAAAGCCGTTTTATTATTCTAACATTCATATTTTTTGACCAGATTTATTCAACCTGCATAAATCAAAATGGCGGCTCGAAATTTTGCTGTCTATCTATTTCTGCCCCAATTTTTTTAACTTTTAGAGGCACGATAATAGCACTAAACATCGCCAACCATGGATGAAAAATAACGTCAAATGGAAGAATATACCGATCTGAGCCGAGGTATGCACGTGTTGATTTAATTGATTGATAAACTAGATGGAACTTCGACTGCATGCAGTCGAAAATCTCAGAATATTGTGATTACAAGCAATTTCTCATATACATAAATGACCCTTTGATCTTTGACCTCATGACCCTAAAATCTACTCAGTTCATTGGCTCTGCAAGATGTCCTGAGTTAAATAGTGATCCATCTGTCAGTTCTAATGAGAATGCGTTCACAAGCTATTTTTGCATACATAATGAGCCCATGACCTTTGACCTTTGACCTCATGACCCAAGAATGTACTCAGTTCATTGGCTCTGCAAGATACATACATGATCTAAGTTTGGCAGGAATCCATCGATCTGTTCTAATGATAATGCAATCACAAGCTATTTTTGCATACATAATGAGCCGCATGACCTTTGACCTTGACCTCATGGCCCCAAAATCTAATCAGTTCATCGGCTCTGCAGGTAACATACATGACCAAAGATTGGCAGGAATCCATCAATCGGTTCTTGAGATAACGCGATCACGAGCTGTTTTTGCATACATAATGAGCCCTGTGACCTTTGACCTCGTGACCCCAAAATCTAATCAGTTCATCGGCTCTGCAAGATACATACATGACCAAAGTTTGGCAGGAATCCATCAACCGGTTCTTGAGATAACGCGATCACGGGCTGTTTTTGCATACATAATGAGCCTTGTGACCTTTGACCCCAAAATCTACTCAGTTCAGCGGCTCTGCAAGATACATACATGACCAAAGTTTGGCAGGAATCCATCAGATGGTTCTTCAGATAACGCGATCACGAGAACGGGACGTACAGACAGACGGACAACCCGAAAACATTATGCCTCCGGCTACTTCGTAACGGAGGCATAAAAAGGTCACTTTTAACCCTAATAAGGCCGGGGGGGGGGGCCATTATGGCCCCCCCCCTCCACATTTTTTTCGATTGCTCTGGAACGCATATGGATGGCGCCCCGCCGCTCGCTGACTTTTTTCTTTCGAGTCTTGCGCAACTTTTAAAATAATTTTTTTGAAAATCGGACCTACGGTTACAAGGTCACGTGACCTTTTGTCTTCGCATGTCAGCCTGAAAATCGCTCATTTTCGTGATTTGTGTACAAAACGTATGGCAAAGTCATTTTTCCTAAAAGCAGATCAAACATAGGTTATTGGGTCTTGTTTAAAGTTTAGGTGGTTGTTTTGGGAGTCAAAATAGTTGAATTGTAGTAAAAGATAAAATAAAACAACAAAAACAATGAAATACATAAGTTAAAAAAACAATGAAATACATAAGAAATTATCAAAACAAGGGATAACATAAGAAATAAGCTGGCTCTTCCAAATTTTTTGTCTTATTATTATTCAGAATGGTCTAATGAATATATCTAGTGAAAAAGAATGCTTAAATATGAATAATATATGATTTATTGGTAAAAATGTGATTTTTATGACTTTATTTGCATAAATTACCATAAATATGCAAATGAGTGAATTTTTCAAAAAATTGAAATGATCATATTATTCTTTACACTTCACTTGACATGCGTGCAAATTTTTGCGGGGATCGGCCGCTTTGCGGCCGAGATCTTGAGGGGGGGCCATAATGGCCCCCCCCCCCGGCCCTACTAAGACTAGGGTGTCTGAACGATTTTTCAATTTTCAATTTGGGATCGTTTTTCACCATTTTTGTTTGATATTTGAATAAAAAATGTTATCAGAATAATACATTTCAAATTTCAAGTCTCACCGATGTTTCTATCAAAAGTTACAGCCCCTCCAACACGCTGGTATATTCATATCATTTTGGTCAAAATCGACGAAAAAGACGTCCACGCAGAGTGATGTTGTTTTGCTAAATTTAGCCAAACAGCTGTATCGCGCGATATGCAAGCGTATGCATATCGTACGCATGCTGCTAAGCCAATCCGCGACTTGCAGCTTGAGCTACGCTGTCTCCGCGACATGTGCGATTGACTAGTATGGTTGGCGTTCGTCGCACAATAAACCCGGAAGTGAATGCACGTTATAGTCAATGGCAATATCGCGGAGACAGTCTCCGCGATATTGCCATTGACTATAACGTGCATTCACTTCCGGGTTTATCGAGGGAATTGCCAACCATAATTTCAGTCACTATAATGTGTAATTGAATTTAGGGTTTCGTTCGTGCGCGGAGATGTTACGCGATGTAACCATGGTTTGGACTGAGCGGAGCGCACGCCTCCTAATTAGCTGATCCACCAAATAGCGAGAAGGGTATTTTTAAACTGTTATCAGTTGTGATCCCTGGGGGCTAGCGAAAATATAATCACATAGAATTGTTCCTTAGGACTGGGACTACTTATCGATCGGGGCGTCATATCTCAAAAGTGACAAACCTCAGAGTTAGCCAGGACACAATGTTTAAATTGCTGTTTTGACCAAGATATTTTTAGAATTTCGGGGGCTACGCCCCTTTGGAAATATTGGAATTCACCTGCTCTTTCATATGACACCTCATTCATTGATTATCACCTTCAGGATCACAACTGATAAAGGTTTGAATCTCGATTTGAAAAAAAAAATTGACTTTTTTTGCATGGTCGCGCAATGCACGTAGGCTGCATAGGGATGCGTGTAATCTCTATGGGAAGAATTTTAGCACACAACATCGGGTGCGCGATCAGACACCCTACTAAGACTTCAAATAGCCCGGCCTTATTAGGGTTAAGGGACATACTGATGATATACGCTTTTCATAGAGGCAAGTGACAAATCCTGCGAGCTGATTTCGGGACACCGGGTCCCAATCGCCGGTGCAACGCCGTCGGGACACGGTATATGAAAATCCCGACATGACTCGGGCCTACTACAAAAACAAGGTACATGTAATTTTTGTTATAAGAGAACCAATTCACATTGTTTTGTGGTGTATTGGCAATGCAAAATGGGTCATACAAAGTGATACAATCCTCACAAATACATTTGTCTTCAATCTGACGAGATTATAGCTCAAGTATTTCTATTTTTGTTACCTTAGCATGACCATGCTTTCCTGTCTTAGAAGTGGACATTTCTACAATTTTGCAGGGACGAGATTTGATGAGAACATGACCATTCTTACGAAGTGCAGAGCACTGCTGTGGGTAATGCTTGGACGCTCCAGAGTCTCCACTTTCGAAATATTCATCATGATTATCAGCCATTGTGCGGGGTATTAGGGCTTTTATCCTGGAGGGGGGAGAAGAAGAAGAAAAACTAGAATTTAATTCGTCACGAGGACGAATAAGGTGGTCTGTCTTCAAGTCTTATAATAGATTATAATATTTACTATATTGAAAAAGGGAGAAGTTATATAGACATGTAAACAATGATGATCATCATGATGATCATAATGATGATGATCTTGATAGTAATGGTGATGACGATGTTGATGATGATGATGATGATCATGATCATGATCATGATGATGTTGATGATCATCATCAACAGACCATGATGACATCTGATTGAAAAAAATGAGGGGACATTTAGATAGCATATAGTCTCAGCTACAACATACTCCAAAATCAACAAAAACCAGGCGGAAATAACGGCAATATTGCTCGCAAAAGACAGGAATGTAGAATCCAGATTTGAGAAAAAGTCATCTCCCAGAGGGACTACACTCAAAAAGTAATGGATCAAGTGATAATAGGGGAATAATAAAGTAAATATGGTTGTTTATAACATTATTTGTGATTCTACGTGTTTTAATAAGCAAAGGAAAAGGTACAGTGAAAGGTCAAAAAGACAAAAAAAAGTGAAGAAAAAAATTGTTGGAGACGCCTGGACTCGAACCAGGGTCTCGAGGTCGGAAGTAAACATTTCCCGTAGCGATTACACGTAAACGGAAAATGAAATTCTCAACTCCCACTTTGAAATATGAGCATGATCCCGGCATCTGATCGAAAAATAAAGGGCACACATGTGATAACTTATTGTCTCGGCTAAAACATAGTCAAAGCTCAGCGAAAACAAAGCTAAAACGACGGAGATATTGCTAGTTGAAGCAACTACACTGGCTTCCCATCAAACAGCGAATTGAATTCAAACTAGCACTTTTAGTGTACAAGTGCTTAATGCATTCTGCTCCACACTATCTGTCTATCATGCTTACTACTCCTCCAGTTTCCAGATACCATCTGCATTCACGGAACGATCAGACACTATTACTGATCCCACGCACCAACACCAAGGCAGCCGAACGCTCATTCTCTTATGCTGGACCATCCACCTGTAACACTCTGCCACAACACCTCCGCCTATGTAGTACAGAAGACACTTTCAAAAAGAAACTTAAAACCCAACTCTTTCCATCTTGAATCCATAATGTACATTTTGAGTAGCTAAATTTTATTTTCGTTCATAATATCTTAATTACTGTTCCTTGTTTAATTGTTATGATTTGTAGGTTTCTTTTCTGTTGTATAGCGCTCTGATCAGTTTGTCTGTAGTAGCGCTCAATAAGAATCAATTATTATTATTATTATTATTATTATGAGAGAAAAAAAAGAAAAAACACCCCCTTTTTAAAGAAATCTCCGGGTGAAAAGTCAAATACACCCCTTTTTTTACAATTCTCGGGCCGGACTTTGTCGCACGAAAAGTACCCCTTTACCGGACATTTTGGCAATACGCATGCGGTCATTCCGACCCCTGAGTGGGGGGGGGCCAGGGCTGTTGAGCAAAAATTATAACTTGGCTTGTACCACTTTTTTGTCCATTCTGGCCAAAAATTGGATGAATATTGCCTAGATTTCAGGGGACCGTATCTTTTGATAGAGACATCAACTGTGAGTCTTAAAATTTGAAATGTGTTCTTCTGAGTAGTTGATCTTTTCAATTTTCCAACCATAATTCAAAACAAAAGGGAAAATTAAAAAAACGTTCAGACAAAGTGAAGGAAAAAAGTGTGCGCATCTACTGAACTACTCTTATATCACTTCTTTAGTAGGGTGTCTGAACGATTTTTCAATTTTCAATTTGGGATCGTTTTTCACCATTTTTGTTTGATATTTGAATTAAAAATGTAATCAGTATAATACATTTCAAATTTCAAGTCTCACCGATCCAAAGATACAGCCCCTCCGAAACGCTGCAATATTCATAGGATTTTGCTCAGAATCGACGAAAAAGATGTACACGCAAAGTTATGTTGTTTCGCTAAATTTAGCCAAACAGCTGTATCACGCGATATGCAAGCGTATGCATACGCTTTTCATCTTGCAGCTTGAGCCACGCTGTCTCCGCGATATGTGCCATTGACTATAACGTGTATTCACTTCCGGGGGTTTATGGTGCGAACGGCTTTCCATACTTTCATTCACTATACGTGCAGATGTTACATGATGTAACCATGGTTTGGACTGAGCAGAGCTCACGCCTCCCTAATTAGCCGATTCCAAAAATGTGGGAAGGGTATTTTTAAACTGTTGGGGCGATTGATCTCTTGGGGCTAGCGAAAAAATAAATGCAAACATATTTTCCTTACGTCTATCCGGACATAAGCCCGGGGGACGCAGCTCAGGAAAGTGGCAAATTTTGGAGCTAGGATGCAAACAACATTTAAATCGCTGTTTTGACCAAGATATTTTTATAATTTCGGGGGTGCGCCCCTTTGGGGAATATGGAGAAAAACTTGCTCTTTCATATGACACCTCATTTATTGAGTTTCACCTTCAGGATCACAAGCCCCAAAGGTTTGAATTTCAATTTTTTTTCATGGTCGCGCAATGCACGTAGACTGCATAGGGATGCAATCTCTAAGGGAAGTATTTTAGCACACAACATCGGGTGCGCGATCAGACACCCTATTAGTAGTAGTATCAAATGCATGCAAGTTACCCGTCTGAGCTAGGCTCATATTTTGCATTCGAGCCGTTGAAGTAATTTTTGTTCGAAGCTTGGCAACGTCCGAAGTTTGGCGGTTTTACTCTAAGTAGAGTAAAGGAGCCGGTAATCGGCCAGCTCCAGTTTTCGGCCGATTGGTTGGATGCAAGGTAAAATCACTCTAAAATACATTGCATAATAGCATAACACATATCCCACACATACCATACCATGCCAGTGTCACTGAAGAACCACATTTGCAATGAAAAATATATCCTAAAATATCACATTTTAGCGATGTAATCGGCGGTCCCGCTACCCGAATCTGAAAAATCGAGTATCTTACGCGTGTCTGTAAGAAATATGGGTACCATAAAATGAGCTTTATTTCAAGTATTTTTCAGATTTAGAGCCCGATTTTGTGCTAGTCGCAAGCTCAAAAGTATCTCATCGCATGTATTAAATCAATGCAGCCGCACACCGCAACGCACACCGCAACGCACACAGGATATATCTAATTCAGATTCCAATATCCGATCACCACTGCACAGAACTAGTTTTCGGCCTGGCGAGCTCTGGGGAGCTCCGGCGTGGGATATCTGCTCCGCCCGCTAGTGCTATAGATCAGCACGGAAACGCACGGCGCGTGCGCGCGCTTCCTATTGACTTTGTACATGCGGCCATAACTGGTACGCTATGCCGAAAACTGATTCCGAAACAGTGAAAATTGAAATGAATATTGTCATGGCAATTCGTGATTTTTTTCTGGGATTCTTGTTTTGTTTAAATAATAATATTTGCTTCATGATTTGAACAACAAATGATAATAAATAGGAAGTAAAGGGTCCTAAAAATAGGATTTTGTCTTAAGTGGCCGAAAACCGGCTCCTTTACTCTAAGTAGATCTAAAACTTTTAGTAAAAGTTATAGGGTGGTATTCCGGTAGCGCGTACTAAGTTAGCGCGTACTTAGTTAGTTCACACTTTTATGGAGTGCCTGTTGCAAACTAATTTACCCTGTACAGATTATTTTAATCCCTCAATGAAAAGTGTACAAAAAATTAATTTTGCAACGAAATGGGAAGAAAAAGATAATAGATCTATGAGTTTTCTATGAACTGAATTTCAACAAAGTCTTTGGTAGATTATCTTTGTCATGAATATTGAAGGAGGAAGATGAAACCTAGCATTCCATAGAAGTGTGAACTAAAATTCTTGTTTAGTCTGGACTTAGTCCCGGCTTAACTTATGAGAATACCATAGATCTAGGGTCTAGAATCTAGGCCTAAAGAATAAAGGACAATTCATCATTTTCATGATTGATTTGATTGCTTATGCGCCAAGTAATAAGTTTTATCAAACTTATATAAGAGGGCAAGGCTGAAACAGATCATGTTGCAACAGCATTGCCAAGTATTGCCATTGGGCAATGACTAATCATGGAATCAGACTAAACCTATATATTAATAGTCTTCCGGTCGGTACCCATGCCAGGCCATGCCACATGCATGTATGCGCTACAGTGTACTGTACACTGCAATTGCAACCAACATGCCAAACTCGTTCATTCATTGACGTATGGTCACCACTTATTCGACCTAGATTTTACACTTATTTGTAAGTCAAGAATTCGAGTACAAGACTCTACAAACTCAACAAATAATTCTGAAATCTGCAGAGGGGATAGTCACGACACAACCGGTATGGTTATCAGATTGATTATTGGAAGAGAGATTCGATATCGAAACAGTCGGGACTAAGACTAGTTACATTCGTCACTAGTTTTAGCTCAACATGGCAGCTTCGGTAGAGTCACCACACAAATACTGCAACATCACCACTCTCAATATATCAACTTCCGAAATTCAAATTACGAAATTTCACAGCAAAATCACACCAAATTGTTTTCTTAAACTATGTGGTTGACATAAAATGAAAAACATATTCTTTAAATATAACTAAAGAACTAATCAAATAGTTAATCGACAACAATACTCACACGTGCACGGAGTAACAGAGCCGAAGGAAAGACTATTTGTAGATCATAGCTTAGTGCGCATGCGCGTCAAGAAAGAAAGCGCGCCATCTACTCGACTGTACTTGCAATCGACTGTGCATGCATGGATTGACTATGGGATGACATTTTTTAAAAAAAGGTCTCCTTTGCTTCTTCTTCTTTCTTTTCTTCGCCAAACCTGAAAATTTGTAAATTCATGAAGTTTTTGGGGGGTGTTGAATTCAAATACAAATATAAAAATGCTGCCACGCCATTATAATTAAAGGTACGTATTGCCAATATCAATGTATAATTCATCAACTATCTTATTAACACCAAAAGTAAATTTAGTCTAGCCTATTTACGAACTTTCCACCGGACTGAGTCCGTCGGGAGAAAACAAAAGTTTAGTTTTAATTGCATTAACCGATAATTTCCAAAGCTCAATACTGATATACAGCAAATAAGGCAGATTGCAAATCTTCAGCAGATTCTGCCATTGTCTTCAGCGTAGAGCAACACATAAATTTGGAGAAAAGCTATAAAGATAGGCCTACTATGTCCTTTTTACAGCCAACATCAAATTCTGTAGAACTTGAAACGTCAACAGAAACTGAATTTTGATAAGGATTAAGAGTCGAGAACGGTCGTCTTCTTTCTCTTATAATTTGATGAAACCTCAAAGCTTTCGCGCTTTGCGCGGGAGGGGGGGAACTCCCCCCTTCCTGCACGTATCCTCCCCCCAGGGAGCGTGCTACGCGCGCTCTGTAAGTGATTCGCACGCTTCGCGTGCTCACTACCGCCCCCCTAAAATAAAATCCTGGCTACGCGCTGGACGGCCCATGCGACATCGCTTGGCGATTTTCTAAATCTGTTTTGTATATTTTTGTTTTACTTTGTTTTGTTATGCTCTGTTTTGTTTTGGTTTCTATTGTTTTGTTTGATGTTTATTTTTTTTATAGTTTTATTCTGTGTTTGTGCTTTCTTTGTTTCGTTGATTTTTTTTTTCGTTTTTAATTGTTGTTTTGTTCAAGTGGCGTAATAGGAGAATAACTGAAAGTAAATGCCGGAGCGGAAACAAACGCCTCTGTGGAAAATTTGCACTGACCTACCAGTTCATTCTTCTATCCCTTTTTATTTTGTAAATTTAGATTATCCTAAATGCATGGGGATAGACATTGACGTACGCAGGATTTTTTCAAGGGGGGGGGGGGTTAACATTTTTAAATCGGGCCGAAAAATTCGCAACGTCTCAGCCAGCCGCTGAATAAGCGGGGGGGGGGGGGGCAAGAGCACATGTTTTCTTTTTGTCCAAACAATTTCTCAACGACTCAGGGGGGGGGGGGTAAGGTCATTTTTTTAGGGGTCACCCTTTGGTTAAAAAATAATTAAAAAGTTTTTTTTTTGAGGGGGGGGGGTCATCAAAAATCACACACGTACAAACAAATTGAGGGGGGTTTCAACCCCCCCCCCCCCCCCCCCCCGCTGCGTACGCGCTTGGGGATAGGCCTCAAATGTGACTGATTTGACGAACTTTGAAATTCCCTGCCGAAACTTTGCAAAATCCATTACTTTCTTAATACTTTGTCCCAAATAAAAAAATCGTTTTGCCATGATGGCTTTCTATTATACTATAGGCTGGTGGTAGATTCAATGAAGACACATCGACTACGTTGCCCTTCTATCACAGAAGTTAAACTTAGTTGAAAGACTGATTTTCCTCTATTGTGTCATAGTTTATCACAGTCATGAAGAACTTTTTGGGGGGTGTCTTTTTGTTATTGCTATAGGCCCCTAGTAAATTCAAGATAGCTATTTCACTTATTACCCTCATAATAATAAGCACGTTCATAGTTACAGTCTGCAGCATGAGCAGATAAAGGCCCGGCCCCCCCCCCCCCCCCCCACTCAGTATTATTTAGGGTACGCATATGCTCGTACCCTCTTTTTGAAAGCACCCCCTATCTGAGGACTGCCAACATTTCCGAACCCCCCTTTCGCGGGCTTTTCACGGGCTTTTCCTGCTTTGGAGACCCCCCTAAATCAGGAAAAATGCTCAATGTACCCCCCTAAATTTCGGAATAATTTCTCAGGAGTCCAAAGAGATGATAGAAAAAAAGAAAAACACCCCCTTTTTAAAGAAATCTCCGGGTGAAAAGTCAAATACACCCCTTTTTTTACAATTCTCGGGCCGGACTTTGTCGCACGAAAAGTACCCCTTTACCGGACATTTTGGCAACACGCATGCGGTCATTTCGACCTCTGAGTGGGGGGGCCGGGGATAAAGGTCATTGCAGACCAAATATTGTGAAATACACAAAATATCGGATGCGCGTGGTCATGAAAGTTATGTCATTATTCATTTCATGCACAATCAGTGCACTCCATGATACACAGGTGGTAGTATTCCAGGCGCGGATCCATGGGGGGGGGGGGGGGGAGAGAAGGCCTTGCACCCCCCCCCCCCCTCAAAAAGGGGAGGAGGAAGGGAAATGGAAATTTGAGAGCTAAAAGGGAAAACAAAAAGAGAAAAGAAGGGGAGAACAGTTGCAATTAATCCCGCCAACAACGTGTGGATCGGGGTGGGGCCGAAAGGCCCTTGGCTCCCCCAGCAAACCTAAAACAGAGAGAAGGAAGGGAAGGGAAAGGAAAAGAGGAGAGAAAGTGAAAGGAAAAAAAAGAGAAAGAAGAAAGGAAGGGGAGATCAGTTGCGATTTTTCCCGCCAACAAGGTCAAGGTGTAGATCGGGAGGGGGGGGGGGCAACTGGCGTACTGATGCCCCTAAATATAATTCAGACGTGGTTTATTTCTAATTTGATACCGGTGATTTTAAAATGATGCTGAAATGACATTATTTTCCGAGATTTTTCCTCAATCATTAGTTAGTCATACTTTTTTTGCTCATCTGACCGTAATTAAATGCTAAAAACCCCTTGACTTCTGGTGGCTCTGCCCCTGAACCGAACCAATAGTCTTAAGGCGGGCCCCTGGATGCTCATCTGACGGTAATCTATTGCCTAAAACCCCTGAGCCTCCGGGGCTCAGCCTCTGGAGCCCCACACTAATTTGTGTCCTGCCAGTGTCACAAATAAGGTATAAAAATAATTATTCTGACTGTACTTTATTGCCCGAACCCCTGAGCTTACGGGGGCATTGCCTCCTGGACCCTGTGCCAATTTTGTGCCCTGCCAGTGTCAAAAATAAGGTATCAAAATATGCTCATCTGACCGAAATTTATTGCCCGAAACCCTTAAGCTTCCGGGGGCATTGCCCCCTGGACCCCACGCCGATTCGTGACCTGCCAGTGTCACAAATAAGATATCAAAATAGGCTAATCTTACGATAATTAAATGTATAAAACCTCTGAGCTTCTGGGAGCTCTGTCCCGTGGACCCCACATCAATTTGTGTCCTGCCAGTGTCACAAATAAAGTATCAAAATATGCTCTTCTGACCGTAATTTATTGCCCCAAACCCCTGAGCTGCCGGTGGCTCCACCCCCTAGACCCCATGCTAATTTGTGTCCTGCCACAAAAAAGGTATCAAAATATGTTCATCTGACGGTAATTTAATGTATAAAACCCCTGAGCTACTGGTGGCTCTGCCCCTTGACATCCGCCGGGGCTTCGCCCCTATACCCACGCCAATTTACGCTATGCTCTACCTGATCGTACAATATTATATCACTCGCCACCTACTTAGAGAAACGTTCAGCGGTGCTGCATGTAAGAGTGGGGGTGATGCGGATTTTTTTTGTCTACCTTTTGATTCACTATGATTCAATTTGTACTTAAATGTCTGTAAATATGTTCATTTATTATAACTTGCATATTTGTTTGTAAATTGTATTTTCATTGTTTTATATTCTATTCGAATTTTATGTAATCATGGCCTCGCTGAAAACAGCTTTTGCTGAATGCGGGCACAAATTATTATTATTATTATTTTTGTTTAACCGTGAATAAATAAAATATACCATACCATACCATACCCCCAAACCTTTTTACTCATTTCGCCACTGCTGGTGTCACCATATACGTACCAACAGTGGCGTACGCAGGATTTTTTCAAGGGGGGGGGGGGGGTAAAAATCGGGCCAAAAATTTCGCAACAACTAAGCCAGCCGCTGAAAAAGCGGGGGGGGGGGGGGGGGAGGGGTAAGAGGATATATATTTTTTTTTTTTTTTTTTGGGGGGGGGGTCCCCAAAAATATCGCAATGACTCAGCCAGTCACTGAATAAAAAAAAACTCAAAAGGGGGGGGGGGGGGGTTCCCAAAAAACATACACAAAGCATACACATTAAAAAAAAACCCTGCGTACGCGCCTGCGTACCAATATTTGGCTCGCATAATTTCAAACTTGGGCCCCTCCCCCCCCCCCCCCAAGAAATTGTGGTATTCTTTGGAACTTAAAGGGGAAACACAATTACTGTAGGCCTATAGTAGTGATCATATTTCAAAATGTAGCCTACAAAGTGGGACTTCTTCATTTTTCAGATATGTGGATATTCGGGGTCATTTTGGACATGTATGAGGCTAACCGTGAACTGGTCAATTGACTTCTTTATTTGGAATGGACTTCTCGGTAGATGAGCATGAATAGTAACCTCGGTCTTTGATCTGCCAGTGTGCCTTCAACAATGCAAATTTCAAACTACAAAACATGACTGAAGGTCTATTGTTTGACGATTTATATATTTTTTGTTTCCACGGAGGTCAACTTCTATTAAAAGAGAGGCCACCCTTGGTTTCAATAAAATCAGAAAATGAGAGAAACAAAATGAGTAAAATTTTGTGCAATATCCGATTGAAAATAGGGAATTTATGTATTTTTAAAGTTGTCATCAGTGAAACACAAAATGGCAACGTGCACTAGATTTTGCGAGCTCCTATCCAATTCGCACCTTACTGAACGTTTCATAAACCGTTATATAATTGTTCTTTTGTATAAAAATATATTTGCAATAATTTTATTTGGGATTAATCAAAATAATGTATGATTGAATTTCTTGTATCTTTCATGTAGTAGACGGCAAAGGGGAGGGGACTAAACATTTAAAAAAATGTATTTATACACAATGTCTAAACGCTTTCGCTCAAACTTTTACTGACTTTCTCATTTTCCTGCTTCTATCAAAACAAAAGGAAAGGAAAGGAAAGGAAATTGAATGGAAATGAAAGGAAAGGAAAGGAAAAGAAAATTAAAGGAATAAAGAAAAAAGATACGGAAAGGGGGAAGGGGGAATTAGGAAAGGAGAGATAAGGAAAGGAAAGGAAAGGAAAGGAAATTAGGATGAAGGAAGAAAGTGAAGGAAAGGAAAGAAAAGGGGAGGGAAGGAAAGGAAAGGAAAGGAAAGGAAAGGAAAGGAAAGGAAAGGAAAGGAAATTAGGATGAAGGAAGAAAGTGAAGGAAAGGAAAGAAAAGGGAAGGGAAGGGAAGGAAAGGAAAGGAAAGGAAAGGAAAGGAAAGGAAAGGAAAGGAAAGGAAAGGAACTAATTAGGAAAGGAAAGGAAAGGAAAGGAAAGGAAAGGAAAGGAAAGGAAAGGAAAGGAAAGGAAAGGAAAAGAAAAGAAAAGAAAGAAAGGGAAATGAAACATTGAGAAAGAGAATGCTTTTGAAAGGAATTAAGAAGGGCTATAGAAAGACGAGGAAAACAAAAGCAGAGGAATGATCGGGCGTGTCATTTTTGCTTCCCATAATGCCTTTCGTATCTCAGGTTTGGTTTTCGGATGTTCTTCCGGTATCTAATCAGCACAAAGAAGACCATTGTGCGAACGAGTCGGAATTTTTTTCCACCTGAGAAAAACATCATCCAGGAAGATGTCCGAGGGCCAAGAAGAACAGCCCCAGACCATTGAGGCTCCGGAGAAGATCGTTTTGGGTATGTTGATGAAGTTTGGCCATTTTTCATGAACGGGAAGCTGGTTAAAAAATGAGTTACATTTAGGTTTGCTCATTCGGAGTGCCGCAGTTGGCACGTAACAACGCACGGGACCGCGATTATAAAGCATGCACATGGGACATGCGTGAAAGGACCCGCGTGTATTTTGCACGCCCACATTTTTAGACCTTGTGCGTGCGTGGCAAACAGAAATGCGATGGCAGACCAAGGCTAGCTATGGCATGCGCCACGTCGCGTGTTTTGATTTTACTTATGACTCTAGAGTCTACTTACAATTTCATATGATATTCCTATGAGAAGTTCTGAACGCAGGCTTAATCCTCCATATTCAGTTCCAAATTCCTTCTTCCTTCTGCCAAATGTTGATAATAAAATTAATATTGAAAAATAGAAATTTAGTTGGAAATAAAAGTTGATGATGCATGATTTTGAACTCAAGACAGTTTGATAGACCTATTGACAGTTGCGTAGAGTCTAGATCTACACAGAATTTTTAACAGGGGGTGTTTGAAATTTGATGGAATATTTTTTAGTGACCCGGCGAAGGAGCACAGAGAACTTTCCTCACTGAGCCCTGTACACTAGACTGATGTGTATGGTGGTGTGACCAAAGTTCGCGCGTGACCTAAGTTCGCTATCTCAAAAAATCAGTAAGATTACGAAAATCTGATATCACCAATGGAAAGAGGAACATAAAATTACCCAGAAGTGTAATTTTCTTTGGAATTGGGTACGAAATTGTGAAAATATTGACAAAAGATCGGCAAATTTTGCAATATTTTGCGTCCGTTCCGAAAAATGATCAACTTACCGATAAGGGTTTGAAAATCTTCAATTTGAGAGCAGATTTCCTCAAAATTGTAAGTAAAGAGTGGTATAAACTGATTGTATGATATCTTGCCTTGCAAATTATGATATTACCTTATTTTTGATGGATCACACTTTTTGATAGAGTAAAGTAGCCCGTTTTCGGCCACTTAAGACAAAATCCTATTTTTAGGACTCTTTACTTCCTATTTATTATCATTTCTTGTTCAAATCATGAAGCAAATATTATTATTATTTACACAAAAAAAGAATCCCAGGAAAAAATCACGAATTGCCATGACAATATCCATTTCAATTTTCACTGTTTTGGAGCCCGTTATCGGCCGAGCGTTTCAGTTTACGCCCGCATGTACAAAGTCAATAGGAAGCGCTCGCGCGCGCCGTGCGTTTCCGCGCTGATGTACAGCACAAGCGGGCGGAGCAGGTATCCCACGCCGGAGCTCCCTGGTGCTCGCCTGGCCGAAGACGGGCACAGCAGTGATCGGAAGTTGGAATCTGAATTAGATAGAGATATCGTGTGTGCGTCGCGGTGTGCGGCTGCATTGATTTAATACATGCGATGACATACTTTTGAGCTTGCGACTAGCACAAAATCGGGCTTTAAATCTGAAAAATACTTGAAATAAAGCTCATTTTATGGTACCCATATTTCTTACAGACACGCGTAAGATACTCGATTTTTCAGATTTGGGTAGCGGGACCGGCGATTACATCGCTAAAATGTGATATTTTAGGATATATTTTCCATTGCAAATGTGGTTCTTCAGTGACACTGGCATGGTATGGTATGTGTGGGATATGTGTTATGCTATTATGCGATGTATTTTAGAGTGATTTTACCTTGTATCCAACCAATCGGCCGAAAACGGGAGCTGGCCGATTACGGGCTCCTTTACTCTAAATCAACTGTAAACCCCCGTGCGTGAAGTTAGGTCTCGTTGTTTTTATGACTTTTTTAGATGCAGCGCGCACGAACGATCGGACATCGAATTTTTAGATCACGATATCTCCGAAATCCTTCGACGATAAAATTTTCTAGTTGAACTAATCTGTAGTTAAAAACTTCGCCGTCCCTTTGGTTATAATTGAAATCAATAAATTTGTGAAGAATATGAGAAATCGTAGTTCGAATATCACATTTTGTAATATGTTCTAAAATGTCCGCGAACTTTGGTCACCCCTTCATACAGTCAGTTAATATACTCTCCCATTGGCCGAAGCACTCGAGTGGCTCCGAATTTAAGTGAGAGATGGTCCGCTTCAGCAGAGAGCACAATGGCAACGCCAAAACAAAACCGTACCAAACACACTGACCAACAATTGTCAAGTGACATGTCATGCATTATACAGGTGACGCACTTCACACATAGGTCTAGTCTACCTGACGCACACTAAGCATACAGGTAAGACTGAAGCAATGAAAGTTGAGAAGGTCACAAGGTGCAAAGAAGAGCAACAAAGTTAATTCCTGAGATCCGTCACCTATCCTATCAACTTCAAGACAGACTTAAAAACCTCAGAATGTATCCACTGCAGTACAGAAGGATAAGAGGCAACATGATAGAGGTCTACAAGCTGATGAACGGCCTCGTAAACTCCGATCCCACAACCTTCTTCACATCTGCACCTCATGAAGCTACAAGAGGACACCACCAGAAGCTGTATAAAACAAAGAAGCATGGCCCTAAAAAGAAACAGCTTCAGTCAGAGAGTAGTACTAGTAGAATCCTGGAATAGTCTTTCTATACTGTCATCTCCGCATCATTACTCACTTCTTTTGAGATTAGATTGGACAAGCACTGGTTCTCTCAGCACCAAATGCGTCCTTAAAATTAAATATGTGCGTCCACCCACCATGCAAGCAAAAATATTTCAGTTTAGAACAAATCACCACTCGATGAAACAACCAGAAGTTTCTACAGGATCACCTGACACTTCAGTATGCTGATGCTGATACAATAGAAAATCAACAAACATTTCAGAACAAGTCGCAAGTTTGTACCTTAAATATGACAAAAATAAGAATTTTTCAATCTTCTGAAAGTCTTAAAATTACGTAAATTAACCTTCTTTTAATGATGCTGACAAAATTGTACAAAATAGAAGAATCTACTGGAATATCATGAGTTTGGTATCAGATCAAACAGAAAATCGCAAGCTTTCTCTTCGCACTATTATAACGTTGAGCGAATGGCAGCCAGCAATAGCCGATCAGAAGGGGCCTGGTACATGGTGTGCCAGTGTATAAAAATGAGGCTGAAACTGGATGATCATATTGAGCATGCACTTAAATATTTAAGCTAAAGTTCTACAATATTGGGAGCCAAGCGACATTGGGGGCCTTGCTTTTTTGTGGGGGCACAAGGAAATAATTTTTTTTCTTCATCCAGTGGTGATGGTAGCTGAAAGAAGCATAATTGTCACTTTGGTTTGCACTGCATCAATTTTTTTAATGTTTCATATTAAATGTTATGGGTGTGAACATGGACAATAATGAATGGGTTTCGTTACCTGAAATGTTAATGTACGTTTTGGCAATGTGCAATTTTACACTCAAGTATACCGGTATCTATAAAATGCTCGTGCTCCAGGTGTTCGCTAAATTCTGCAAACTCTGCGGGTGTTGCCTCCTATACTACAGTATATACTAATCGCTATTATCGATGTTGGAGTCTTTGTCAAAAGTCTTGACAAAAGATTCTGACAGTAGGGACTGTCACCCAAATAGGAAAGGGTCCCATGTTGTGCATGCGCCTCTACTGATAAATGTCTAATCCTTGCACACATTTTAAATATCATCTCTCATATTTTACCAAAGTCTAGTACTAATCTAGTACTACATCAATCATGTCAATGGCAAGGAAAATTAACGTTTTCTGCATATCTTTTAAATTTATCTCAGCCACAAAAGTTTCAGGAACAGTCAAGTGGTTCAACGTCAAGAATGGCTATGGGTTCATCAACCGGTAAGACACTCTTCATTTAACTTCATCTCTATTGTATACTAGATGGCATATTCAAAAGTTGGGAAAATGCTTTAGTCATGAAATATTAAGCCGTTGTGTATAATTTATGGGTTCGTTTAATGCTAGTTACTTTCAACGATGAAAATCAGGGTTTAGGAACAAATCTATGTAATGTATGCAGGGCCTTTAAATGTGGACATGCACAATAATCCGAAAACTTTCAATACTTAACATATTCAAACTTTTTTCTTTTTAATAATTATACAATAATCTATCATAAAATTGTGTTTGTGTATGTGTGTGTATGCTTGAGAGAAAGAGGGGGGGGGGGGGGGGGGGGAGGCATTTGGAGGTTTTATGCGAGCAAACTAAGAACCAGAACAAGCCTGAGTCAAAACGTTTAACCAACGGTTAAACGACCGCATTCATCAAAACCGTTAGGTTAAGCATTTCTCGGTCCTTTTAACCATTATTTTTGTGCAGTTTGTGACATGTGTTTTGTTTTTGTTTTTGAGACTTCATTGCCGAAATGGAACTCCTAAATTATTAATTATTGACAAGATTTCATTGCTAATACGGACAACGAAGTCTTGCCATTAATTTTTGTTATTAGATCTCCGTAGGGGCAACAAAGTCTTGCCGATAATAATTGTTTTTAGATCTCCGTAGGAGCAACAAAGTCTTGCCGATAATTATTGTTTTTAGATCTCTGTTGCAGGCCTTAAATTTCAATACTTTTAGGGCAAGGCCACTTTTCTGTAGGGCACATTCCTATATTACAGCACAAATAGGAAGAATTGGAAAGGGCACAAAAAATCTCCAAGGCCAATGAGAGGGGCATTGAGGCCAATCAAAGGGGCATCCACGGCCATGGCCTTGGTGGCCTTGGATTAATTTAAGGCCTGCCGTTGGGGCAACAAAGTCTTGCCGATTAATTATCGGTAAATGACTCGGGCTTAAACCAGAACCATGCTTGATTACCTGTCACTAAAGCTTGTTTTTAATTTCATCATCTCTTCTTTTTGTGCCTACAGAGATGACACCAAGGAGGATGTATTCGTCCATCAGGTGAGCAATGCGTAGACTGTAATTGTCAATAAAATTAATTTACAAATCATCATTGAATGATATGCAAATGAACTTGGGATAGGTTAGAAAATTAATCATTAACTTTTATCTATAAATGAATTTTAATTTACACTTCAGAGTAAATGGGCCTATATTATGAAAATTATCATCAGTATCAAGCCCCCGTCACATTCAAATTCATCGAGAAGAGACACAGAATCAGAGGTGATACGATGCTGCTTCAATTAAATATTGTCATATACATCCAATGAAGATGCTCTTTGTTCAGCAGATGATGTTCATTCAGCATCCTTCATTCTAGACTTACCTGTATTACAATAATTGTTCCTAATATACCATCCCATTGGTGTATCTGGCTTCCAAACCTTAAATTAATTACTGGTTGAACAACCTTGCTGATGATACAAACATGTAGAAGATAATATGAATCTTGTTCAACCTCTTCCAAAGCGACTTATAATTGATTACAGTTACCTTTCATGTCTGTACCTTTCCAATTGTACTTTGTATATATGTATCATGTATTTCATCTTTTGCACAAGCTGCGCCTTGAGCATTTGACTGTCAAGTGGATTTGGCGCCTAATAAATCTAATGTATTATTATTATTATTATTAATACATATATTCAGTAAAAGAAATCATTTTCAATTGTTTACAGTCGGCCATTGTAAGGAACAACCCACGCAAGTACCAGCGCAGTGTTGGTGACGGAGAAGTGGTAGAGTTTGACGTTGTAGAAGGAACCAAGGTGAGGGAGCCGTTTTTCATTTCATGCTAATATTAACCCCAAAGAGCTTAGCTTTGAACAACTTGTTAATGTTTTTGAGGCAATTCAACATGCCTCGTCCTTCATTAGAGACCCCCTCCTGCCAAGGTATTGAATATACCATTCTCAATAGGTATATCTTCATCAGCTCGAAATAAGCCAGAAGTTACAAATCCCCTCTCCATCAGCTCCATAATTGCAACTGCTGGCTGATAAAGACGCAAATTAGCTGGATAATTTGCGATCGGGTTAGTTAAAATATCTGGTTATTTGGCAATCTCGAGCTGATGAAGACAGGCCTATAGTTTGGCAGAGGTAGTTTTTACAGTTCATCTCAAGGTCTGTGAGGGATTGACAACATCGCTTTAAAGGGATCGTTTAACAATGTTATATCTGAGATACACGGTCCTACATGTTACCAGTGTCTGTGATATGGTGTAATATTGAGGCCCTAAAAAGATCGCGCTTCAAAAATGATCAAGAAGTGCCTCAAAAAAGTAAAAATCTTTGAGTGACCGGTTTTACCATACTCGTTTTTCCCCATGGACTGTAGTGTTATGAAAACCGTTCGGTAAACAGTTTTCAAACTTTGTAATTCCAATCATTAATATCTTGATAATCAGACAGGCGATTGGCTTGTTAAAGTCATGGAGTTCCAGACTGACCTAAAGGTTTATAATTATCATTGCAGCATGAGCTAAATCAAGGATTATTTCTAAAGGATCTAAGACAAAGTTACCGGATCCCTTTAATACATGAATGGAAGTTATTACACTTCCTCAAGTCTAAGCAAGCAGGATGATACAGGATGGTTATGAAGATGCTTTGTTGGCCTTGTAAGTTACTACATTTTAGTGACCACTATGTAGGATCATTCTTCAGACAATGTTTCAATGCTGTGTAAAGAGTGTTGTTGCATATTATGGGGAGAGATTTTTGGTGTTGTCCCTTATAATCATACATTTTTGGAAATTTGTAGTGAATACTAAGGCAGAAATTGTTGTGTAGAAGTTACTGGATGCTGGAAAAAAAGAAAGAAAAAGTAATAGTATATCTGTAAAGCGCTTAGAGACATACATGTAGATGTATTAAGCACTATAAAAAAGTCGAATATTATTATTTGAAGAATTCTCATCCTCCGACTCTAAAAGTAATGAAAAGTACTGCAAAAAGCAGAGAATTCATATTCAAGTAAAGAATTATCATCCTCCTATTTCAAAATTTATTAATAATACTGCAAAGAGTAGAGAATTCTTATTTAATTACTTTAAAAATAACGACAAGTACTGTATATTCTTGTCTCCTGGCCAAGGGCAATGAAGCCGCCCGAGTGACTGGTCCTGAGGGTGCCCCAGTAGTAGGGAGCAAGTACGCGGCCGACAAGCGCCGTTACCGCGGCCGCCCCCGCTACTACCGCCGTCGCAGACCCCGTAACTCGCAGGGAGATGAGGAGGAGATTCCCTCGGACGAGAAGGAGGGAGGAGAAGAGAACGACGGTCCCAAGGAGGGGAGGAGACAGTACCGTGACGGAGGTAGGGGAGGCTATCGTGGTGGTCGTCGAAGGTATAGAGGTGGACGTAGACCAAGACCGGGCCAGGATGGAGCACCGCCAGACGGGGAGCAAGTGAGTAGTAAAATATGTCATAAAGCTCCCTTCAGATAAACCCAGAGTGTGTTCAAGGATATCAGTATTTTATGATTATTAGCCTGGGGAAATGCAGAGCTGTGTAGTGCCTTTTGTAAACAAGACACTCAGTTTACCACTGAACTTCAATTATGTGCATACTTACATCGACCTTGACAATCTTTTCCATTCAATTCTATTCTCCAGAATGTAAAAGAAAGAAATGTTAGTTATACAGGCACAGCGGAGCACCCCAATTTGCATATCATTAGCGGCCCGTTCTATTTGAATAACCAACGGACATCTGCGTGAATCCGAACATGTGTGTGCTAGAATGTCAAATCTTAAAATTCGCGTTGCGCCTTTATTACTGCCAATATCGCTTTGAAACTTTCCATACTAACTAAAATTATTATGAATTTTATGTCAGTGAAATAAATACGAAATTCCATGGAATAAAACTCGAGATATTAATGTGTTTTGAGCTTCGCCCCTCGAAAAACACGACGTCTACTTTATAATGTGATGACCCTATCAAGCAATGCACGAAGTAGAGACTTGGTATGAATATTCATTAGGGTTAAATCCATACATGGGCGAAATTTTCGCTTCTCCGCTGTATTTTTTTGGTTATAACGTTCTTTTTCATGGGGCTTCATTTTTAAAAGTTGTAGTCAGCGAACTCATTGAACATGACGTCATCGATCTCAGCGATGTACTGCGCATGCGTCTTAGGCCCAGTGCATGCCAGATCGAAACAGCTGAGCCATTAGCGTGCACGTGTGCAGTCGGCTGGCAAGACATGTATAGCCAACGCACACGCGAGGTTCAGACATGACACACATTTGAAAGTATGGGACTGGTCAAACAATTTTGCGACAACGAAGGATTATTTTTGTTCGATGAGATTCGGACATTGGGGTATGTTTTTCTCTGAGACGACCCTATCAAGCAACTATGAAAAGAGATATTTCACAAGGATTGAGATTATTAAATTTTCTTTCTGTTCATACGAGGCAATTCTTTCTCGCTCTAAAAGAAATGGTGAATTTTACGGTGATTTTGTATCTCATTTTTTTCGTTTTTGTTCGTCAAACCTATCCCTTAAATTTCACATTTTCTGTGCATCAATAACTCTTTTTATACACATGAGTGTCTTGCAAATTTATTAAATACTCGATTTAGTAGCTTTGATTGGTGATATTCATCACATTAATGAAGAATTTGTCTTCGAAATTTGTTTACTTTTTTCGCATCGATCGGTACACAATTGTTGATTTTATGCAAATGATGTTTACTGGACGAGAGTCGATCGCACGGTAATTGGGGTGCTCCGCTGTGCCTGTATAAACCATGTTAGAAGGTTTGATTATCCATAAATATATCATGAGATGCATATCTATTAAAGTGGACAAGCTAAATGCTCTTGGGATTGTAGTAAAATGTGCTGTGGATTCAATCCTCAAGAATTCACCAAAATCCCCTCATGTATTCTATTTTTCGACAGAATGAAGAGGAAGGCGAGCGACAGGATAGGGAAGGCGATGACAAGTCAAACAGCAACCGCCGTCGCCGATACCGTCCCAACCAGAGATATAACAACCGCCGCCCCAGTCCCGTGGCGACCAGAATGAGGAAGGTGGTGATAGGGAGAACGGGGAAGGAGGTGAGGAGAGGGAAGGTGGCGAGGATCAACAACGTAGGAGGCCAAGACGTCCTTACCGTCGTCGCTACAACAATCGTAAAGGTGCCCCAACAAGGACGGGGAAGGGGACCAAGGAGGAGAGAACCAAGGAGGGGAGAACCAAGGAGAGAACCAAGGGGAGACAGGAGGAGGCCGGGTAAGTTGCTTCATTATCAAAGTGGAAAATGCAATGAGTGACATCAGAAGTGCATGTAACAGGGATGCCAGTTTTCAGGCAATAGCCTGAATTCAGGCCATGGCGAGTTTTTTTCAGACCATAGTTTAGGCTTTATTGTGTGCAAAATAGCTCATTCTAGGTGATTTTCAGGGACTCTGATCAATGCTAACTGGCATCCCTTATGTAAACTGAGTGAGAAAGTTTATTGAAAAGACATGTTTACTGTAGGTTATCTGTGTTGTACTTGCAGTTATTCATCATGGCAACAGGTTAAATTTCTTGCATTTAAAGAATGGGTTGGTTTGTAGAAAATTCTTCTGTGCCCTTTCAACAAGAAAATTATTTTGTGGAGTCAGCTATTGGTGGAAGGAGACATTAGTGTTTCTGATTTGAGATATGTAAATGTATTTAAATATGACAGTTGCGTAAAATAATGCTCAGATATCTTGTTCTTGCCTTGATGCTGTACATGATACAAGTTCATGGCTTGAGATAATCATCCCTCTTTACTTCTCTTGCAGAACGAGCCCTCGGACAGACCGGTCATCAAGGAGGAGCCATCTGCTCCAGCAGATACCAAGGCCAGCATCAAGGTTGAAGAGTAGAAGGAGTTAACCACCAAGAAGCACTGCACCCTGCCTTGTAGCATTTCACCTAGTAAATCATCATCGGCACAGTCATCGAAGTTAGACAGACACTGCTCACCAGCGATGCAAGAACAAACATCAGCAACAAGTTACAACACCATGGACAAATCATTTTTGCTTTTTCCTTGATTTTACTTGAATTCAAGTATCTTCATTGCGTCTCTGGATTTTACCAAGCACCAGACTACAAAGAAAGTCACGTTATCAAAATTCTTTGCAGCAATGCATCATTGACTTCTAGTATTTGTTATCATTATGTGAAATATACAAGGCCTTCATGAACTAACCATATTGCTCAACAAGCGTATGGACCGTTTTTTTGTCACTTGTATCAAAGCTCTACACTGATGACCTATCTGTCAATCGATTTGCAACCTTCCAAATAAAAATCTGGCTCTCTTTTTAATTTACCATTTTAAATGAGTACAGGAGAGTAAACATTGGAAAGATAAGAAAAGAGGAAAAGAGCACAGCTACCAAAATCTTTCCTTTTTTATGTTGCGTTATTCTATACTTCTCGATTTGTTTGTGGGCAGTGTCGACTGTATATTCTAGGCAGGTGCAAGTTATGGTATTAATTCGTATTAGTTGAAAGGAGTTTACAATCAAAGGAAAAAGGAAAGAAGATACCAAAGTAGATCTAAAATCTTGTAAAGTAACATCTAGAAGGTACATTGTATGACCTTTACCTGTTTGATTTGCCTGATGTAATACCTGCGGCTATCACTATCAGTTGCTGACATTTTGAAAAGAAAATTTTGCTTTCAATTCATTTTCTTCTTTTTTCAATTCTTTTTGACAAAGTTGTCTTTTGGAAATAATTTATTAAACTATTTTTAAAATATTTTATATTTTATATATTCTTTCTAGTTTTTCCAATGAAAAAGAAATATGAATTGTAGAAAACAGAGAAAAATGCTGAAATAGCCATTTTACAGGCATATGTAATTTTTTTTGTTAAAAATTTATTTTCAATATTTGATGAGGAAACAGAAGAACTCGCTGTCAGTGAATAGCAGGCAGGTATTGCTGATTAATACAGGCATATATTTTTCTCGAATGCCTCAGCATAAGTTTAACACACGGAATTAAAGACCTTTCTAATAACAGTATGCATTATTCATGTTAGTTTTAAGACTCGTTAAAAAGCAAAGAAAACGTCCTTAAGATCAAAGTTTAACATACCATCTTGAGTCTTAAATTTTGCTTATCGCCTCTCTTGTGACGCAGACCATCATGATGACACAGGATGATGGTTGATCGTTGCAAGCTCAAGAAAACAAGACCCTTATTTGAGCAAATCCTCTTGTCTTTATCTGTTTATTTCTTGACGTCTACAGATGATATATATTGTGATTGATGGATGGTGTCTTGAATGGTGTGACTCAATTCCTTTAAAGCCCCACTGCACTACTTGTAGCTACTTTATATAGTAAACAATGCCTTAGCGGTGCTCGTTGGTGCCCCATGATCATCTTTTTCTTATGTTAATTGAGAGCTGAGTTGATGAGATAACCACCTGTCAGTGATCACGCAGGGTGGTTTAATTCCTCATGGCCAAACTAATGCAGTGGGGCTTTAAAGAGAGAAGGGATGCTACAGAAGATATGTATTTGATTGATGGATGAGCATAAGATCGAGGTGGGTTCATTACTGCAAAACCAGAAACTTTTGGTTGTGTATGTTTGCGAATTTCAGGAGTGGTTCAAATTTCTGATAGTTACAAGCTGTGACATAATTGAATCGCAACTGATGCGATAATGAATTTTCGCATGTTAAGATGGTTTCTTGTAAAAACAAATTGCCTTTACCAGATATAAAAACACTGAAAGTGTTGTGTTGCAAGAGTTTCTGGGTTAACACTACAAAAACATCTTAAGACGTGAATCCAAGTATTCTCTTGCTGGTGATGTTGACAAAGAGGTGTAGATAGTGTATGTGTGTGAGAGAGAGAGACATAAAAGAAAAGCTAAGGATATGGCAGGGAGGGAGAGAGAGGTGACCATATGAAGGAATATTCAGAGGTACTCCACTGCCGGACAAAAGCCAACCTGCATGTATCTAAAGTTGCAGCAGGAATTATCAGGCAGGCAAACACAAAAATCTCTTTCATTCACACGACCGTTTCTTCTTTCTCTAATATCTGTACTTCACGATATCCACCCTGTTCTCCTCATTCGTTGGATCTCATTATGCTCTCGTTTTCTTTTACCCCCCCAAACTCCTTACAGCCTCGCTACCTTTTTCTCTCTGTCCCCACCTCCCTCTTCCTTCCGAGATGCCAATTTTCAGGCAATAGCCTGAATTCAGGCCCTGGCAAGTTATTTTCATACCATAGTTTAGGCTTTTTGGGTACAAAATAGCTCATTCTAGGTGATTTTCAGGCCCTCGATTCTAACTGGCGTCCCTGCCCTTCCATGATTCAAGGATGATTTATTGTTCTTTCTCACTCTGTGTACACATATCGTCATAAACATCGTAAGTTTTATTTCATTCGAAAGTTTACTTTCTTTTAGTCTCGACTCCTGTTATCATTCTATTCGTATATCCTACACCTATTTGCAAGTTTCCTTGACTTGTCTCATCCCACACTATATGGCCCTTATCCAAGTGTCTCGCGGAACAATCAGAAGTATCAAATTTGTAAATGTCCCAAGGAAATGTGAGTTGTGTGTTTCAACGGGATGCCATTTTTATTTTCCATTTTTTGTCTTCATATTTTATGTATTAAACGCTGCTGTGAACTCTTACTCTCCCTACCCACTCTCCTTTCCTTGTTCACCATCTCTCCTTCCTAAATCTTAAAGGCAGGGTATTCTACTGACACTACTTCAGATTTACGTATATACAGTCAAACCTGTCTATAACGACCACCCAAGGGAAACAAAAAAAATTGGCCTTTGTAGACAGGTGGTCTTTGTAGACAGGTGGTCTTTGTAGACAGGTTCCTTTAGTACGTTTCAATTAAACATTTTCAAGGGAAACAAAATATGTGGTCTTTGTAGGCAGGTGGTCTTTGTAGACAGGTGGTCACTAAAGCAGGTTTGACTGTACTGCCATCTGCTGCTCACAATGTCCCAATGTGTCAACAGCCATGTCCCACAATGCATCACAAACTGATAAGCGTGAGTGATATGTTTGGGTACAAGAATCGAAAGTGGCTCTATGTACACCTTCACCGAAAGACTGCGATTTAAAATACATTACAGAAGTTGCAGTGATGTCAGTTAAATACCCTGCTTTTAAATTCTGTCATTTATAAAACTCTCAATTCATGCCAAACAAAAACTTCCTGAAAATGGCTCACCATTTCATAAGAAAAAAGTTTATTTACATAAAAAAAAGTACACTGATATCTTAATCATGATGGAGACACTTCGAGTAGCGTCTCTTCCTGCCTTAGGAATGTTGCCAAATAAAAGCAACCAGCCATGTCAGGTCACAACTCATTATGTAGAGGTCAGTTTCAACTGTTTACGGGCTTCGGTCGACTAAAGGCTCGTCCAGATAGGACGCTGTAAACCCCCCTAAATATACGGCAGCGGTAAATAAGTGGAAACTGCGTGAAATAAAGGCCTTGGGATATTCACCAAACTCTGTGTTATAAGATTCAGTAATGTGGCGCTTATTACACTTCACGTCATCTTTTGGTTTTGCTGGATCATATCTGAATGGTGCTTATTTAAATAAATACCGGTAGTGAACTGCTGGTGAACCCGATGAAAAGCAGCACTTGTACTGAAATGGGTGATCTATCCCACAAGAGGTAAATAAATAACTAAATAAAAAATGAATTTGAATTTTGTCACACATTCAGGGTACTATGTACCAGTGTATCAATGTGGCAGTCTTGAGTTTGATCCATACAATGATAGTGCTTGTGTATTATGTCAAACCATACGCTGATCATCTATATTTCGTCAAGGATATTGCCTGTTTTGGAGCCAGAAGGACGTTAACCCATGTACGGCAACACAAAGTTGACGCCCTTCTGAATCTGAACAACAGACGATGTGGGCTTTGGTTGGGATTAGGTTCCAGGTTAGGGTTCGGGTCAGGCATAAGTGTTGGGTCAAGGGTTAGGGCTATAAATTCGATTTGCATAAGATGTCGACCGCAGATCAATTGTCACAGACGGATGTATCAAACAAGTGAAGTACATGTAGTATCACCAGGACATTGTTGGGTGTTCCAGAATAAATTAGGCCTTCCACTCTCTTGTAGTAAGAACTTTGGGACATCACAAAGGGGCAAACATTGGTGGGCAGTTGAGTAAGAACCTGACTGACAGATCTGCATCCCGAGATTCCCGATGGCTACCATTTTGTGTTTCTGTCATTTGGATTTATCCATTTATGGAACATGTACAAATTCTTGCTGTCCTCACATGGAGAGTAGAGAGGTCTTGAAGGAACTTATAAAACAGTCTTTGAGCTGGGCTGGCTGATCATCACATCTCCCCACACTGGGAGACAAGCACAGGAATCTTGGGTCTGTTGTTTGGTCCGGTTGGTACATTCTGAAAACCAAACAAAGAATATCAATCAATAGGTAGCTGGATGGATAGCCATCATTATTTTCAAAAATAACTGAAAACGATACAAAACAATACGCAAATAAAAAAATAGGAAGACAACATAAAATTAAGGAAAAAAAACCCCTCCCCCCCCCCCCCCATTTTCTCAATGTCATATTCAATTCAAGTTTTCCACAATATGATACAAATACAAAACAATCAAAATACAAACAAGAATACAACATAAGTATTACACAACAGAACGGGTGGGATCCAGGCGCGTAGCCAGGGGGGGGCGGTGGGGGCGGTCGCCCCCCCCAAAACGCCGGCCAAAAAAAAAAGAGAGAGAAAGAGAAGAAAAAAAAGAAAGAGGACGTAGGAAGAAAAAGGGAAAAGGAGTCGAGAACGGTACAATGAATCGTCAAAGCTTCCGCGCTTCGCGCGGGAAGGGGGAAACTGAGTTCAAATTAAGAAATATGAGTCGGGAAAGGTACAACGAATCGTCTTCTTTCTCTAATAATTTAATGAAACGTCAAAGCTTCGCGCGAGAGGGGGGGGGGGGGGGAACAGAATTCAGACAAGGATTAAGAGTCGAGAAAGGTACAACGAATCGTCTTCTTTCTCTAATAATTTAATGAAACGTCAAAGCTTCGCGTGAGAGAGGGGAGGGACTGAATACAGATAAGGATTATGAGTCGAGAAAGGTACAACGAATCGTCTTCTTTCAAAGGGGAAACTCCCCCCTCCCTGCACCCACCCCCCTAGGGAGCGCGCTTTGCGCGCTCTTTAAGTGATTCGCACGCACCGCGTGCTCACTACCGCCCCCCCTAAAGTGAAATCCTGGCTACGCGCTTGGTGGGATCAACAATAGGCCTACAGGTCTTTTAATGCTCAATCCCTTCAGTATATATATATGAAAGTAATATATATCTATTTTTCTTTACCCATTGGAATAATTAATTGCAATGACCTCTCAAGTGTTGTCCTAAAAGACAAACTGTAGTGGAGGAAGTCATCTTATAAACTGAATCTAACCTGAAACTAAACTTGATGATACACGTCTTGTGTATCTCCTGTATCTTTTATGAACAGTCATTTCTTGACTTTGACCCTGCATTTCTCTCTTTCATGTTAACCCTCTCATCACCATGTAATAATCAGGGGTGATAGTGAGCACTAAAAGAGAAAAAATCTGGAAAATAAGGGGAAAATAGGGGTAAAATCGGGAAGAAAAAAAAAAAAAACGGGGAAAAATCAACAAAAAAATAAATCAGGAAACCGATATAAATCATTACGAAAAGCTCTCGTTAAAACTATACCCCACCACTATAGCACAGCAGTCAATGTAATCTGGTGGGGTAGCACTACCCCAGATTCATTTCTCTCGTTAAAACTTTGTAATCTGGTGGGGTAGCAATACCCCAGTTTCGTTTCTCTCGTTAAAACTTTGAGAGAGCTACACAGGCACCAATGGGAATCTGATGGGGTCTCACTACCCCACTTTCAATTCTCTCGTTAAAAACTTGGACAGAGCCTTGAGGCTTTGAGTGAGAGATTAAGATATTGGATTGCAGCTGGACTCTACATCATCTTACGTAATACTAGTGTAAACAAACTCTTACTGGGGTCTGCCTGAAAGGAAATGAGAAGTAGAAAATAAGTATTTTACTTGTTTTAAGATATTTTCATGTCCTAAAGTCACTAATAATTTAGATGAAGACCAAAATGAAAGTTCGAACGAAGCAAAATGACCCATAATTGGCGATATAACAACAATTTTTACTCTGGCAGCGAACCCCTGCATGTGTCTCTTTCTCCCTTCTCCCTTCCTTTCCCCTTGTATCATGCTTATCTCTCTCTCGCTATCACCTCATCAAGGTCTCGATGGGGGTGGATTACAGCGCTAGTGTTTACTTAGGGCTTATCACAATCTCAGCTCTAGTACAAGTAGAAATGGTGAAAGTCAAATGGGGGTTTCAATTTTAAACGACGAGTTTTCGTCATGTCGGGTAATTATCAGTCCTGAATAATGCACTATTTGCACTATTTCAGATAAATTAAGCTAATCAGGAAGTCGAAATTATATTCCCAAACACAGTTTTGTAAGCTTTGAGAGAATAATACAAAGAATAGATGAGTCAGGTCCTGGCCAAGCCGATATGAATAGTACAATCCTCCTAGGCACAGACATTGAATGGACAGGAAGATCAGTTGAGCGCTTCTCAATCCTTGAGTATTGGTTACAACATGTTGTGAGATGTTGTGATTGTTAACATCTATTCTATTATCCGAAATAAGATACACAACATTAAATTGTAATTGAGCAATACCTAGGAAGATGGGGGGGGGGTGGGGAGGGTAACATTACCTGACCCCCCCCCCCCCCCAAAAAAAAAAAAAAAAAAAAAAAAAAAAAACCCTAACGAAGTACATGTACCTGAAAATGTTTTTCTTCTCCTTTCACATTTTGCCAAAGTGGACATTATATCAACAACAAAATCTTCATTTTGTCCTCATCTTGTTTTTATTACAATTTGACATACCTAATGTACAGGAGATTTTGCATCATTCTAAAAGTTAGATTCCATCTTAAATAGTACAGCGCCATGAGCGTCAGACCCTGGCAGATACCGGCGCTATATAAATATCCATATTATTATTATTGCATCAAATGTTTCTGATATCTTAATTGATGCTTTGATTGTTTTACCTGACTGCGAAGAAAGCAGGAGCATGCTAGTATAATAAATAACCCCGGGGATTGATGGCTTTAAGTTCTCTCAAGGGGACTTGGTAATTGGGATTAATGCCATACCAAAGGGGACTGGCGCATCCACTTGGTTTTTAACCCGGGACCTGCAGATTACAAGCCCACTGCTCTACCACTGAGCCATTGTGTCTCCTCAGGAGTGGATGCACTTTTGTAACCTCCTCCCCTGAAAAACAGAAAAGAACTGCACATACCTCAATCTTTCTCATGACCAGAAGTCCATCTATCACCTTGCCAAAGACCACATGCTTGCCGTCTAAGAAGTCACACTTGGCGCACGTCACAAAGAACTGACATCCGTTAGTACCTGGACCCGAGTTAGCCTGATAACAATAACAAACAAAATAATACCCGGTAATGACAATGATAATAGCTCCATTTACATTGCCAACATCCTATTTTTCTAGGGGATACAAACAGTGCCTACAGAGTACTATCATTACCCTGGCTACAAACCAGCTGCCCTAGGGTTCTAAAAGCATTCAAGTGATTTCTACCTACCAGGTACCCTTTTACTATACCCAGGGCTGTCAACCCTCTTGCATTTGGAGGAAGTCTCACGCCTCCACGCTCATTCTCCCGCCGTCCCACCAGCTTGAAGCGGGAGATTCCCGCCACCATCATCCCTTTCTCCCGCTTCAATGTAGAATCTCCATTTATGAAAAAACCTCCCTCCAAACATGGTAACCACAATTTAACCTTTTTTTTTTGCTCGGGGGGGGGGGGGGGGGGGGGGGGCAGTGAGCACCAAAAATATTCTTTTTTTGATTTTTTTTTTTGAAATTTAACCCAACACCCACCTCCCCCCAAAAAATCCTGTTGAGCAAACAAAATGTTGGCATACAATCTTCCTCAAAGCAGTTCCCCAAAGTTGACAGCCCTGTATACCTGCATCAAGAGTGGCAATGGTAGACTAATATGGGATGATTTTCTGAATTCTGCTACTGATGTTCAAGTCTCACGACCATCTATCTCCTGGGCAAATGATTTCCTTTATTCCTCATTGAACAGTACGGTCTTCATCCTGGCTTGTATGGAAGCAGGAGACCGTCAAAAACATGGATATACGTCGTGTCGTAATTCGAATTGCCACACTACCTAAATAATTACGTAGATAAATACTGACTTCATAGGAGGAACCTGCACCAATGTTTTTGTTTTGTTTGTTTTTCCTGAAATGACATGAATCGGGGGAGCATTGTGGTATAGTGCATTCAAAGGTACCAAGATCGTTTCTTGCTTTGGGCTGTTATCCTTGAACAAGGTGTTTTGGCAACAGTTGTCTCTCTTGACCTAGGTGTATTATACGGTAACCAGGGGGGTGTTTCACAAAGACTAAGATGGACTTTAATTGGACTTAACTATGGCAGGCCATTCATGCCACTGGTTGCTCTCACCATTATGATCTTTAGATAATATTTTTTCCTTCAATAATGAATTATAAAAAAAAACTAGATGGAATTCGACTGCGCGCAGTCGAAAATGATGCCTCCGTCATAGAGCAATTTTACAAACCGAAACGGAAGAAATTTTTCAAATTCATGTTCAATTGTAATCCATTAACATGTTCTCAGAATATCGTGATTACAAGCAATTTCTCATATATACTTTGATCTTTGACCTCATGACCCTAAAATCTACTCCGTTCATTGGCTCTGCAAGATTTCCTGAGTTAAATAGTAATCCATCTGTCAGTTCTAATGAGAATGCGTCCACAAGCTATTTTTGCATACATAATGAGCCCATGACCTTTGATCTTATGAACTATTCATTGGCTCTGCAAGATACATAAATGATCTAAGTTTGGCAGGAATCCATCAATCTGTTCTAATGATAATACGATCACAAGCTATTTTTGCATACATAATGAGCCGCATGACCTTGACCTTTACCTCATGACCCCAAAATCTAATCAGTTCATCAGCTCTGCAAGTAACATACATGACCTAAGTTTGGCAGGAATCCATCAATCGGTTCTTGAGATAAGGCGATCACGAGCTGTTTTTGCATACACAATGTGCGCTGTGACCTTTGACCTCGTGACCCCAAAATCTAATCAGTTCATTGGCTTTGCAAGATACATACATGACCAAAGTTTGGCAGGAATCCATCAATCGGTTCTTCAGATAACGCGATCACAAGCTGTTTTTGCATACATAATGAGCCCTGTGACCTTTGACCTTTGACGTCGTGACCCCAAAATCTAATCAGTTCATCAGCTCTGCAAGATACATACATGACTAAAGTTTGGCAGGAATCCATCAATCGGTTGTTCAGATAACGCGATCACAAGCTGTTTTTGCATACATAATGAGCCCTGTGACCTTTGACCTTTGACCTCGTGACCCAAAATGTAATCAGATTGTTTTCCTATAGTGATACACACTATCACTAAGTTTGAAGTTTAAATCTCCAGTGGTTCTTGAGATATCATGATAACAATCTCAATGTATGGAATTTCATAAGTTGACCTCTGTGACCCTTGACCTTTGACATACGTGCTCCAAAATCTAATCAGATCGTCTTCCTGTGGTGATACATACTATCCTTAAGTTTGAAGTTTAAATCTCAAATGGTTCTTGAGATATCGCGCTAACAAACTCAATACAAGGAATTTCATAAGTTGACCTCTGTGACCTGTGACCTTTGACCTACGTACTCCAAAATCTAATCAGATTGTCTTCCTATGGTGATAAATACTATTCCCGAGTCTTAAGTTTAAATCTTAAATGGTTCTTGAGATATTGTGATAACGGTCAAACGGGACGGACGTACGGACGTACGGACGGACAACCCGAAAACATGATGCCTCCGGCACCACCTTCGGTGGCGGAGGCATAAAAAAAAATTCTGTAGATTTGTGACCATGATTTGTATGTCTCTTGAGAGACCAATGCCAGTAAATGGTGGTAGCAAAGAGTGGCATGAACGGCCATAGCTAAGTCAACTTAAAGTTGATCTTAGTCTTTGTGAAACATCCCCCTGGTAATGCTGAGTGAATAATCTTTGCAGGGCAAGCAGGAAAAGCAGTATTGATTCTCAAGTGGCAAGATCAAATTCTCATTATCTTAATATCTTATCTTATTAACAAACAAAATTGGGAAGAAAAAAAAGAAAGAAAAGAATTCCTTACCATTGAGAGTAATCCTGGCCCATCATGCTTTAGTTTGAAGTTTTCATCCATAAAGTTAGATCCATAGATACTCACTGTACCTGTGCCATCACCCTTCAAAGAGGAAGAAATGAGAAGTTTGTAGAAAACAATGCAACTCAATTCAATTTTTAATTTATGCTTCCATTAGAATAATAATAATAATAATAATAATATTATTTAATTTTTATATAGCGCTTATTACAAATGTCTCTACGCGCTTTACAAACATACTATTACCCCGGTCATCGGATTCAGTGCTTGCCCGCTCACACTGTGTGCACAATCTCCACTCCCTGGGGAGCATTCCAGCCAAGCGTTACATGACGCTCAAAAACTGTGCGACCAAAAATGATGGTCGCATCCTACTGGGTACCATAATAATTACATAATGGACCCCTCAGGAAACAAAAGCTAACCGTATTAGGAGGGCCCTGTACAAAATAAAATGCACATGAATGAAAATGGAATACAATTAATCAACAGGCAATAGTAATAAAATCACAAACATACACCCATTCATTCCAATAACTTTACCACACCCGTATTCACACACCAAATAGCACTCATCCGCATATATATTACATACAGTTCATGCAGAACAGTTTCACATAGGAAGAAAAGGGATAGACACAAAGAGTTTGAAAGTTAGAGAGAGTAGAGAAAAGAATTAAAGCTTAGAAAAGATGAAAAAGCTTTGCAATCCTTACAAAATATTGTCTTATAAAAATGTTTTGTATTTGGAGGTTACTTGCAAGCAACCTTTTCAACTAAAATTTGATATGGAACACAGAAAATTTAAGCACTACCATAAGTAACAATTTTGCTTTGTGTAAAATAATGTTATACAGTGAAACATGTTTAGGCATCATTTCATGCAAAAACTTGATAAAGAATAAATGTCAACAGAAAATGCAAATGGTGCATGGTATGAGAACTGTACACTTTCATTCATTTTGTTTAATTCATTTTTCATTTTTATAAAAAACACAGCAAAAGCAAATAAACATACAAGTACATATACATACACAGGCAGAGAATGTTCAGTTTATACGATAACTTCAAATGAAATAGGAGAACAAAGGAAAAGCCAATGGTGGCCTTGTTTAAAAAAGTTCCCCAGAATATTATAATTTATATTACTGAGTATACATGTATATTAGATATCACAAAAGACATTTTCATACACTTCCAACCCAAACAAGCACCTATCAGGGATTTGCAAGCTCTCCAACTAAACCTATCAAAAAGTTCATCTGAAAGAAACAGCAAGATGAGATCAAAAGCCTTTGTGGGTCTTTTTCTCTATGGGTGAAAAGTGAAGCCCTCATTTTGTAACACAACAAATGGGGTGAATAAAACACTGCCATAATTTGTAAAATTCAAATTTGAAAAGAATAATGACTGTAATTTTGCTTTGGTGATTTTTTTGCCACCACACTTTTAGGGAAAGTTTTCAATTATGATTTTTACAACATTATTGCCCTTTTTGAGATTTTCACTGAGCAATCCCTGCGACGCCCTTTAACAAATATTGTTTCTTTATCTTACACACGTATGTTAACGAGAACAGTCATGGCATGTCTTTTATTCTTTTTGCAAGAATGGGTCAAAAGAGGCTTTCACAAAACAATCATCCTTTTTTCCGCAGCAGGTCACTGGGTAATGTGGAACCCCTTTTCTTACCTTGATAAAATCTCCCCCTTGGATCATGAAATCTTTGATGACTCTATGAAACGTTGCTCCTTTGTATCCAGTCGGCATGTTATTTTTCCTTTTAACAAAATCAAAATACATTAATAAACAATCCTTTCAGGCACTTTTTGTTTTGTTTTGTTTTTTATTCCTCTTATGAAGTAATATGGTTATGGGGTTCAAGTGCATCGGGACTGTTCTAGTGCTCATGAAATCTTTGATGACTCTATGAAACATTGCTCCTTTGTATCTAGTCGCCATGCCATTTTTCCTTCCAACAAAATCAAAATACATTCATAAACAATCCTTACAGGCACTTTCTTTTTTTTCCCTCTTTTTTAAAAAACTTCCTGTTCTTTAAAAGTACTATGAAGAATTAGGGGTTCAAATGTGCACTGGGTCCAAGTTGACCGGGTCTGTTCTAGTGTTCAGTCCTGCTACACTTCAATAAATGAGTTAGAGAACATAAGGGGTGTACAATTAATCATAAGGCCATCAAAAAATGAACAACTATAACGTTTCAGCTGCAGAATGGAGATGAATATTTAGGCAGTATCCCGGTAAACGCAATGATTTTATCATTTTAACCTACAATAAAACGAACAAATACCTATGACATCCCAAACACTTCCTAACTACTCTTCCCCCTCCCTCTCTCTGTCTCTCCCTCCTCCTCCTCCCCCTCCCCTTCCCCCTCCCCCTCCTCCTCCTCCTCCTCCTCCTCCTCCTCCTCCTCCTCCTCCTCCTCCTCCTCCTCCTCCTCCTCCTCCTCCTTCTTCTTCTTCTTTTTCTTCATGTTTAAGAGAGATATACATTTACATGAACTTTCAATGAGACCAGAAAAAAATTAGACTGAAATTCTAAAAAGATTACTGTTCAATGTTCACTTACTTAAATTCTCCTGTACATAACTGTCTGAAGTTTTCTGCTGTTCTTGGTACAACATCAGCAAATAATTCCACCTTCATTCGACCTATATCCTGCACATTAACAAAGAACATATCAAACATATTATAAGTAACTTTTTCACATAAGCTTAAAAGAAGAATTCAATAATACGCTTCGTAATTATTTTTGTTTAAACTTTTTGGTAGTAATACATGTGATATAAATCATTTTTGTATTATTCTACTTCCACTCCAGTATTAAATGTCTGGAATATCCAATGCCTTGTGGGTCATCATTTCCAAAATTTTGTCTAGGTTCATATTTCTTTCTTTTTGGGGGTCAAAGGTCATCTTGTTATAATTTTGACAAGGTTTCTCATCTCTATGTCCATATTAGCATAATTGTCAAACCCCATTTTTTTGTCCTTACTCAGAGTTACTCCCCCCTCTTCTTTTAAAGGAATGAACAGCCATGAGTAGAGGTGGCTTTCTTGCAGATGTTCACAGTTAGGTCATTGGCAGAGAATCCTTCAAAGAGTAAAGGATATTAATATCCTTTAGCTAGATCACTTTAAATAAATAATAGAACTCTACATAAATCAGGGCCATGAGGCTGTTGAAATCGACCCAGATTGATAAGAAAAAGCCTCAAATTAACCACAAACTCATGAACTAGCCTGAATTCCTTTCTCTAGGCCCTATAATTTAGCTCAAACTAAGCTATTTGAATAGACCTAGACCGAATTTTCCGTCTCTTTCGTTCGTTAGCCTCTTATTGGGGTAGGGTCGGCTCTCTCTTTAGAGACGGAAACCGTCTATACACATTCCCTTGATAACGCCACGGCCATTTCAGGTCGTAGCGTTTTGCCCCCAAAATCCCCCAAAATGTCATTTTACCTCGTGCATATCCACATGTAAATTAGGCCTAGGCTATAATAAATCAGTTCCACTTACCAACTTGACTGAAATAATCAGTTTAATAGTCCCTTTTTAGGAAATTATGGGTCAAAATCGAAATCCATTTTGAAAATTTTTTTGAACATGGATTTTGATTTTGACCCATAAATTCCTAAAAAGGGACTATTAAACTGATTATTTCAGTCAAGTTGGTAAGTGGAACTGATTTATTATAGCCTAGAGGTCTAGGCCTAATTTACAATATAAAATGCACGAGGTAAAATGACATTTTGGGGGATTTTGGGGGCAAAACGCTACGACCTGAAATGGCCGTGGCGTTATCAAGGGAATGTGTATAGGCGGTTTCCGTCTCTAAAGAGAGAGCCGGCCGACCCTACCCCAAAGAGGCTAACGAACGAAAGAGACGGAAAATTCGGTCTAGAATAGACCTAGACCTACTAGTCTACATCATACATGTACATCCAACTGTTTTCTTCTCTTGGAAAAAAAGAAGAAGAATCATCAGACATCAATCATCATTAGTTTATGTTTCCTTCTTTTTGTGGAGGAACCACTAGCTGCTGTCAACTGATAATTCTGCTCCAGCTCCAGCTCCATTTAACATAATTTGCCAGTTTGCAGGACAAACTAATTTTGGATTTCAACCGGGCCGAGTACAATGAAACTTGAAAGAATAGATAAGAAAATTGACACGAAAGGGGTAAGAAACATAACGACTTTTAAATCAAGACCATTATTTGAACAACTGATGAAGATTTAGTTGATTTTTGGTATGTTTAAGACGGGTTTCTCCACGCCGGAGTTACGGGTCAATGTCTGGGTACGAAAGTACCACCACACAGTCTGCATACAGTGTACATAATAAACTACGGGAAAATCAGCATGTGGGACTACGAAATACAAATTCGGCCACTTCAAACTGTAATAAAAATGGATATTTACCTGCCCTCCGATCGTTATGTCAAAGAAAACAACCGGGTTATTTGGATTTGAAACTTGCAATCCCAGCCAAGACATTTTCAACTTTTAGAACTGAACAACAGACCGAGAAATGAGGACGTTCTTAGTTGAATCGTCTTTTTAACGTGAGATGCATGCAGTTGTACGTACGAACCACTGAAATATATGACACATAATAATATGAAGTGACTGCGCTGATTATAAATCGCAGGCGGAAGAGACCGCCATATTGGTACTCTCTGTCATCATTCAGTATTCTAGTACAGTGGCGGATCCGGGGGGGGGGGGGGGGGGGAAGAAGGGAAAAAAGAAGGGGAAAAAAAGGGAAATAAAAGGCGAAAGATATCAAAGGTATCAAAATATGCTCATCTGACCGTAATTAAATGCCTAAAACCTTTGACTTCCGGTGGCTCTCCCCACTGCATGGACCCCTGCCCTTAAAGGAAACCAAAACCTTCATACTAAGTTACTTTTATTGTAAAGTTTAAAAGATTTGAATAAAATCAGTGAAAATTTGAACAAAATCGGGCAAGGAATAAGAAAGTTAGAGCTTTTTGAAATGACTAGTCACTAGAGGGCGGTATTCAATTTGATGGCATCATCTGTGAACAACTCTCCGTGCCTTTTGTACATAAAATTTCACAATTTTTTTGTTTTCTTCGTATTTATTTGTGTTCTTGATCCGACTTCATAACGTGTGAAGTAGAATATCATTTAGCATTCTATATCTTGCTTTCAGGGAAGTACATTATCTCAATCACAAGAAAGAAGGAAAAACATGAAATTTGATGTACAAAAGGCATGAAGAGTTGTTCACAGATGAGGTCATCAAATTGAATACCGCCCTCTAGTGACTAGTAGTTTAAAAAAGCTCTTACTTCCTTATTCCTTGCCCGATCTTGTTCAAATTTTCACTGATATTTTTCAAATATCTTAAACTTTACAATAAAAGTAACTTAGTATGAAGGTTTTGGTTTCCTTTAAGGCGGACGACTGGATGCTAATCTGACGGTAATTTAATGCTTGAGCTTCTGGGGTCTCGGTCCCTGGACCTCACGCCAATTAGTGTCCTGCCAGTGTCACAAATAAGGTATCAAAATATGTTCATCTGACCGTAATTAAATGCCTAAAACCTCTAAGTTTCCTGGGCTCCACCCCCTCGACCACTAGAGGGGCCCTAAGGCGGGTCCCTGCATGCTTGTCTGACCGTTATAAAATTCCTAAAAAACCCCTGAGCTTCTTAAGGGCTCCGCCCCCTGGACCCCACGACATTTAGTTACCTGCCTGCAGTGTCACAAATAAGGTATAATTATGCTCATCTGAAGTAATTAAATGCCTAAAGCTCTGAGCTTCCGGGGCTATGCCCCCCCCCCCCCGAACCCAACAAATGGCCCTAAGGCGGGCTCTGGATGCTCATCTGAACGTAATCTATTGCATAACACCCCTGAGCCTCCTGGGGCTCCGGCTCGTGGACCCCACGCCAATTCGTGACCTGCCAGTGTCACAAATAAGGTATAAAAATATGCTCATCTGACCATAATTTATTGCCCTCAACCCCTGAACTTCTGAGGGCTCTGTCCCCTGGACCCAACACCAATTTGTGCCAGTGCCAGTGTCACATATAAGGTATCAAAATATGCTCATCTGAACGTAATCTATTGCATAACACCCCTGAGCCTCCTGGGGCTCCAGCTCCTGGACCCCACGCAAATTCGTGACCTGCCAGTGTCACAAATAAGGTATAAAATATGCTCATCTGACGATAATTTAATGTATAAAACACCTGAGCTTCTGGGGGCTTTGCCCCCTGAACCCAACACCAAATTGTGTACTGCCAGTGTCACAAATAAGGTATAAAAATATGCTCATCTGACCATAATTTAGTGCCCTCAACCCCTGAGCTTCCGGGGGCTCCGCCCCCTTGACCCCACGCCAATTCGTGACCTGCCAGTGTCACACATTACGGTATCAAAATATGCTCATCTGAAAGTAATTTATTGCCCCAAAACCTCTGAGCTTCCGGGGGCTCCGCCCCCTGGACCCCATGCCAATTCGTGACCTGCCAGTGTCACAAATAAGGTATAAAATATGCTCATCTGACGATAATTTAATGTATAAAACACCTGAGCTTCTGGGGGCTTCGCCCCCTGAACCCAACACCAAATTGTGTACTGCCAGTGTCACAAATAAGGTATAAAAATATGCTCATCTGACGGTTATTTTTTGCCCCAAACCCCTGAGCTTCCGAGGGGCGGAATTCGTGACCTGCCAGTGTCACAAATATGGTATAAGTTATGCTCATCTGACTTTAATTTAATGTATAAAACACCTGAGTTTCCGGGGGCTCCGCCCCCTGGACCCCACGCCAATTTGTGACCTGCCAGTGTCACACATAAGGTATCAAAATATGCTCATCTGACAGTAATTTATTGCCCAAAACCCCTGAGCTTCCGGGGGCTCTGCCCCTGGATCCCACGCCAATTCGTGACCTGCCAGTGTCACAAATATGGTTTAAAATATGCTCATCTGAAGATAATTTAATGCATAAAACCCCTGAGCTTCTTGGGGCTCCGCCCCCTGGACCCAACACCAAGTTGTGTCCTGACAGTGTCACAAATGAAGTATCAAAATATGCTCATCTGACAGTAATTTATTGCCCCAAACCCCTGAGCTTCCGGGGCTCTGTCCCCTGGACCCCATCCCAATTCGTGACCTGCCAGTGTAACAAATAAGGTATAAAATATGCTCATATTACTACAATTTAATGTATAACACTTGAGCTTCTGGGGGCTCCGCCCCCTGGACCCAACACCAAATTATGTCCTGCCAGTTTCACAAATAAGGTATAAAAATATGCTCATCTGACCATTATTTATTACCCAAAACCCATGAGCTTCCGGGGGCTCCGCCCCCTAGACCCCACGCCAATTCGTGACCTGCCAGTGTCGCAACTAAGGTATAAAATTATGCTCATCCGACGATAATTTGAAAATCCCTGAGCTTCTGAAATTTGAAAAATCGCACCACCCCCCCCCCCCCTCCCTGGCGTTCAGAGGGAGGGGGGGGTGCGGTTTTTCAAAATTTCGAGGGCAAAAAAAAAAAAAAAATCACTCTGCGAAATATTGCCGGCACGCTTTTCAAATTTCAGCACACTAAATTGCAAATTGATTTCAAATTTGGGCCCCCACCCCTAAGAAATCCTGGATTCGCGCCTGTTCTAGAAGTTACAAATGCTGCTGCCCTTTGCAGGAAAATGTGCAGGAGCCAGGAGGTGTTAAACATCACACATAGCAGCATTGACCACTATGCTTTGCATCGGTTTCTCTCAATTAAAAAAAAAAAATCATCCCCTCAATTATGTTGGACTAGCAGTGGATCATTACGATCATTCATTGAAATATATTACGACACCAATACTGATTTTACAGGATAGATGACCCATGCAGGGCCAGAGGTGCCAGATCAAGAAATAGGGGGCAAGGGTTCATCATATTTCAGGGGCCTTAATTTGTGCATATCGTTCCTTGCTTTGTGTGACAAAATTTGCTGCAAGGGGCAGCAACGGCCTCCCGTTGATAGTTTTGTTTATAGTACAATGTTAATTTATTGACGCCTATATTCCTCCTAGACAATCAAGATCATCAAATTATAAATGGCTTGTTGTGCCTAAAATATAAGAATTCATGGGGGGGGGGGAGTGGTCGATAATTTATTTGCGCATGCATGCCCGGGAATCAGTTGCCACTGCAGAAATTTGTAATATTTTAAGTGTAGATAGTAATAGAGAGATATGCCCTAAAACTCATTTGTTTAACATTGCTCTCCTCTATAGATCTACTTGTAAACGTATTTTCCAAGTCGTTTCACTTTTTTTTTTTTTTTCATGTTCATTATACTTTTCTTTTGCGCCTTGAGCGCATTATTCACGTGGAATTTTAGCACCATTACTCATATATTGTTAATATTTTTATTAAGATTATCATTATTATCATTAACATTATTGTTGTTTTTTTTATGTTAAGAAATGCCATGAGAACTTAAATTTTACCGGGGATGTTCTCCTTCAGAATCCGCTTATGGCTGCATGCCGTGAGATAGATCCGACCTGAGGCGTTTATTCCATTTTTTGTGTGCAAAGTTGGGAATACTGAGGGTGGGGGATTCCCTCACCAGATCTCCTGATCACCCCCTCTTTTTTTTTTCTTTCTCTCTCTCTCACCCTTGCATTTGATATAGGGGAGGGTGCCTGTCGCAAATTCACGTCAACCTTATTACAGATTATGTATAATTCGCTATTATATGCTTACTTTAAATAAGGGATACGTATGTAACGAAAACGGTCCATATTCTAGCTCCATGTAGTCTATGTTTTCCTATCATTCATAATATCCCTATACATGTTGTACCCCCCCCCCCCCCCCCCCCCCCCCCCCCCCCCCCCCCCCCCACCTTGTAACTCTACAGTCTATGCAGGGATATCCCTGGTCTATGGTCGTTCCTCAAACATTACTACCGTATACACACTTTGCGTCCAAATGACCATTCCATGCTATTACATGCATGTAGTTCAGTGGTACAAATACGTTCAGGATGTGCGCCCTCTACGTCGATGCAACAAACATAAATGCTGAAATAGAGTCGGAGACCGAAGTCAGATTTGTGAAGGAAAAGTGATTTTGCGCCGTTCATTGAGCTATCTTTTCCATTTTTTACGATATGGTATGTATTGTATTTAGTGCTACGCAAATATCGTAATATAACTATGATCAGATATTGTGTTGATGAGTCGATTGCACTGGTTCGAGTTGAGAGAGTTGCACTGGTACTTGAGTTGAACTTGATCGATGGTGTAGAAGAATACTCGGTTTTCCTACGTGAAAGTTGTGCAGAGGCCCGACTTCGTGTAGTGTCGCATCATTGGGCGAGATTGTTTGATTTTGTTTACACCTTTAAAACCCACATTGACCGAGGTGTATGATATGATTCTTTTAAAACAATGCTAGACCGAGGTTAACAATAATTTATACAACATAAAAAAGCACATTTTCTGTCATGTCTGACTCTGACTAACTGACTAAAATAAAAAGAGTAGAGGGTCTAGAGGTCTAGGTCTAGCTCGCGCTCGTCTAAAAGTTACTAGTCTACAGACAAAAAGTAAACTCTATTTACCAGGTTTACTAAAAATTGCCTAATAATATTGGCATAAATCATGATTAGTATCCACACCATGGTACACCAGCAACACATAGTGGGCAATGCTAATGCGATTATTACATGTATCAATTCAAAACTTTGCTCAACCAATCAAATCAAAACGACGCATCCGTGCAAAACAATTTGAAAACTGTAATACCTCAAATATCATAGACAGACGAGTGACAAACAACAGCAAGTGCTACAACCCCATCAGAGCACAAACTGAAAACTACAGGAGCTCATTCTTCCCATCTACCATCATTGAATGGAACCATTTGGATGAAAACACCATAAACTCCACATCAACCAGCACATTCAGGAAGGCTTTTGACAGAGCCTTCTAAGTACCCCGCGCCCTCTCTCTCAACCGATGCGTTTATGCCCAGTAGGGCCCTGCATCGTACACATCCAGATCCAGATCCAGATCTAGATTTAACTCAAACAGTACTAGTAGAGTAGAGAGCAGGGGCCCGTTCCTAGAAACCGTCATAAGTCAAACTTCTTGACTAAATTAGCGTTAGTGAGCTACTTGTCCGCTACGTGTTTCACAAAGCCCTCTTTGCTAACATCAAGGACAACATCCTGACTAAGGAGTTATGACGCCTCCAACACCGTCGTATCTAGTGCTGTAAGTCAGACGCTATGTTCGTGTTCGGTTCGGTTCGGCAGAGTTCGGCGATTTTTCACCCGAACTTGGTTCGGTTCGGGGTTCGGTAATTTAATAGCAAGCAGAGTTATAGCGACGGCGGTCGGGACTGGGCAGGCCGCCCGCCCTGCCGGGCCCGACCGGCACGGAGGACTTCTGCACACTGCTTCCGACCAGCACAAATTTCACATTAAAAAACTGCTCTAAACGTAATTATTTGTGAAGAAAAATACTACTTACATTCGTATTTCCGTCTTGAATCATGTTTTATTTTCAATTTTAAAAGAATCATGTTTTCAATTTGTCAATAAATGATATTTTTAAAAGATTTCCCGAGACGGTTGTTGTCTAATGTTAGAGTCATAAAAGGTGCCATCTTGAATAGAGACTTTCAGGCTCGCCAAGAACTGTTTTTTATAAGTTTTTATTTTCAATAGGAAAAATATAAAATCCCTATTTTTCCTGAATAAATAAATACCATACTATAATATATATTTATTACATTATTTATATTGTAAAATTTGTCCGATATGGTTACAATTAAAATATTAATTTTTTGTTCGATGGGTTTGAGCAAATTGAGATGAACTTGTTTTGATCATGCACATGTATTCTTGTTTATGGCTTGCGATCGCGACGTAGCGATGGGTTTGAGCAAATTGAGATGAACTTGTTTTGATCATGCACATGTATTCTTGTTTATGGCTTGCGATCGCGACGTAGCATGGTCAGGATTTGGGATTTAAATGGCGCCAGTGAAGTTGAGCCCACCACTGGATAGGCATAAATCACAAGGGCGGAAAATGGGAAAAAAGTAAATATAATATGAGCAATCATAACATGAAAATTAGGTACAAAATGAAAAGTTTATTAGCTTGCAAAAACGTTTACATTTTTTTTGCCGAACATCCGAACCAGGCCTTTGCGTTCGGTTCGGTTCGGTTCGGTTCGGAAGTGCCATGTTCGGAGAACTTCCGTTCGGTTCGGCGGTTCGGCTACAGCACTAGTCGTATCTCTATCATAACTATTTTGTCGATGGGCAGCACCATCACATGTCATTTATTGGGTAGACTATGGCTGGCAAACAAGGACAATAAATCCTCCAGCTATGATTTTTCTACATATTCACTTAAACAGTGAGTTATTGTTTTTTGTATTTGATAATCTTTTGAAAATATGCCATGTTTATATTTAAGGATTTTCCCACTTAAATAAACTGATTATACGCCTTTATTTCCACATTGTAAAATCCTTGAAGGGATGGGTATTCTGCCACGGCAGGCAAGCCATAGTAAGGAGGGGATCCTTTACTTTTCAGACCCATATTGCCTTCGAGATAAATTCTATCTTCAAATGTGTAAAATGAATAGTTTAAAACATGTGTTGTAACTTTTAACGTTTGGAATATTGAAGTTTTTTCATTTGATTATTCAACTGACACCTAAAACATTGGACACAAATTTCATTACATCGTATTTTTCTAAGAATACTATATTGGTGTGTTTTTATAAACTATCAAATGAAAATAGCTGGGGGGTACCCATCTCAAGAACAAAACTGATTCACCAGTCATGAAATGAAATACTCACGATTATATTTTACAAGTACTTCTGTTGTATAATCTACACAAATTTGGAAGTATATTGCATCTCTCATTTCTTGGTATCATTTTTTATCTTTTTTTATTACTAATTCATTTAGATAATTGCATTTTCCCTAATATTACTTTTGTAATAATCCGGTGGTATTCTGACTAAGGCTAAGTCGTGGCTCCTCTTCTCGCCGATATTATCGATCTCACGAGATCTAGTGAGCTCTTCGTGAAACGGTTTAGGAAGATCAGAGACATCTCCGTAGTTGGTGGATAAAGTTATGACTGTCTTGTCGTTGGTTTCTAGGAACAAGCCCCAAAGTCTCTCTATCGAGTTTATGACAATGCTATGGGCCTAGCAAAATGCTAGAAAATGCAACAAACGCAAAACACAATTTATGCGATGCAACTTTAGAATACCCCACCTTGATGCTCCAACTTAAGTTTCTTAGGTAACATTAAAGTACCTAATCCTAATCCTAACCCTATCCCTAACTCAAACCCTAGGTCTTGGACGTTAATGGACATAATCCTATTGGTGGGGTATTCCAAAGTTAAGCTGGCAAACGGGCAAAGGTATTAAATTGACAAAGATAACAGTAATTGACAAAGTTATTATTATTCATATCCACCCCAGGATGAGGAAACAGTGGAAGAGACCAGTACATCCATGAATGGAGGAGAACCAAAGCCCAACATTGCACCGGAGGACACTCCAAACCAGGAGAAACTTGAAACGGACAGAGCAATAGAGATGAGGAAGAGAATGGAATCATGGCTGAATCAACCAATGCGGATACAGATGACTGATGGCAGGACGCTGGTAGGCACGTTCATCTGCACTGATAAGGATAGGAACGTTATCCTGGGCTCGTGTGAGGAGTACGTGAACCCACCAGGTAAGATGTAAAGTGATGTAAAGTCTTGCAGAGGGTTGTAGGAATTTAGTGTGGTTGGTTTTTATCATCATCTTCATTATCATCATCATCATCACCATCGTTGTGGTCATCGTCATCATTCATCATCATCATCCATCATCATCATCGTCATCATCCATATCATCCATCATCATCATCGTCATCATCATCATCATCATCACCATCGTTGTGGTCGTCGTCATCATTCATCATCATCATCATCATTACCACCATTATCATCATCATCGTCATCATCCATCATCATCATCATCATCATCATAATATATAAAAAATGATATTAGTAATACCGCTAGTAATAATGATAGTAACAGCCAGTTTTGCAGAATAACTATGATATCAATAATAATTATGAAAACTTATTGAAAAATTATAATCACATATTTTTAAACTCCACTACACATATCAATATAACAAACAAGAATGAAAGCATAAATGACGCTAATGATAACAACAGATGTTCAATCATATGAGTTTGAATTAGTTTTAGGCCTTGGCCTACATAATTAGAGTTGTTTCTTAAACAACTTTTGACCAATAAAGGCAATCCAATCTCTTTGATAAGTTTGAACATGCCAAAGCAAAAAGGACAGAGAGGAACGGGATGACAGAAGTTTTTAAATAAATTAAAAAATGAAAAGATATTTTTGAAAGTTTGAAAACTGGGATCAATAAATCTTTTTAAATCTGAAGTTGGTTGATTGTTCATTAAACTTTGATTTAGTTTGTGACATTCCATAATCTTAGTGTGGCCTTCAAAGCTTTCTATTGATCTTACATCATCGAGGCAGTGTTCATCAATGATTTAATTCATCATTTTATGCTTTTTTTATCAGATTCACCTGAAAAGGAGGAGCCGAGAGTTCTAGGCCTTGCCATGGTCCCTGGTCAACACATAGTCAGCATAGAAATAGACGAAGCCAGCAACTCTCTCTTATGACATGCAGCTTCTACTCATTGACTCTGTGAACCTAGTCAGCAATGAGAGATCGGTTATCTAATATCTCGTGCAGCTTCTACTCATTGACTCTGTAAATTTACATGTAGTCGGCAAAGTGAGATCGGCTATCGGCTATTGGGTATCTTGTGCAGCTTCTACTCATTGACTCTGTGAAGTTAGTCGGCAATGAAAGATCGACTATCTGGCATCTTGTGCAGCTGCTGCTTCTACTCATTGACTCTGTGAACCTAGTCGGCAAACAGAGATCGGCTATCTGGCATCTTGTGCAGCTGCTGCTTCTACTCATTGACTCTGTGAACCTAGTCAGCAAACAGAGATCGGCTATCTGGTATCTTGTGCAGCTGCTGCTTCTACTCATTGACTCTGTGAACCTAGTCGGTAAACAGAGATCGGCTATCTGGCATCTTGTGCAGCTGCTGCTCCTACTCATTGACTCTGTGAACGTAGTCGGCAAACAGAGATCGACTATCTGGCATCTTGTGCAGCTGCTGCTTCTACTCATTGACTCTGTGAACCTAGTCGGCAAACAGAGATCTGCTACCTGGTATCTTGAACAGCTTCTACTCATTGAGTCTTTGATTGAAGTGGGGACAGAAAGATGGTAATCTCTATGATGCACTTAGTATACCCAATGAGTCTTTGACCCAAGTTGGTGAAGAGAGATCGGCTTATTCGGCTATCTCCACTATGATATGCACCTTACATGTGTACTTGATGATAACTCTGTGAAATCAGTGAGTCAGCAAAGAGCGATCGTCCATCTCCTGCAGCTTATACTCATTGGGTCTACAAATCAAGTGAGCAAGCAAATTGAAATCTCTGTTATGACCAGCACCTTATTATACTTGGTGAGATTGTGATTCAAGTTAGCGAAGAGAAATAAGCTGTCTCTGTTATTATGAATCTTATCATTAAGGCTGTGAACAAAGATGTCAGACTGTTTGGTGTCCTGCGATGTCCAACCCTCAGAAACTTATTTCAATCGTATCACTGGCATTGATACATGCGTGCAGGATTTGCCAGGATCATAGACGGACATTGCAACTGCCAGACAGAGCAAGGCAATGTGTTCAATTTTCATCAGATGAACCAAATACTAGTATTTTCTTTTTCATTACATGAATGCTTTAATAGCGAGAAAACATTTCATGATAATAATAATAATTAAAACGTTTTTGTAAAGCACATAATGCAAGGGCATACTTGCATATCTACATGTATATATATATGTGCTCTACAGAAAAGAATACAGAAGAAATGGCAAAGGCGCACTGGGTCCATAATTGTGAGATCTTGCAAAGTGCTAAATAGATTTATGTTTTCATTATACTTCTGAGTTTTGATTATTTTCTATACATTTCTAAGCTATTCTAGCAGGTTACGCCACAAAATAGTGGCTGCATATGAAAATCACTTTTCTCCATTTCATTTTGTCACAGTTGTGGGACATAAAATAGACTTTTTACTGGAATGCAGCTTTCTTTCTGGTTTATACTGTACATGGACATGTATTAGAAATTCATATACCGGTAGTTAAGCAACAAGAGGAACCTGTAGGACTATAATGAATTAATCATGTAAAAGGAATTTGGTTGTGAGGTTTAAAGATACTATGTCCCATTTGCAGCCCAAAAAATGAAAAAGTTAAATTCCAACTGCATTTGAAAGATAATACTTATTTAGAACTTCCCTAAAAAATGTGGGGCTTAAAAATGTCTTCAATGGGAAAATAATGACTATTAGTTGTCAAATCGACTTTAGGGCTATAGAGCCCAAAAGTAATAGTCTTGATGTTCAGACAATTGTACCGAATGGTCATACGTTTTATGTTCCGCAAAGTTTCAATCAGTTTAATCTTGACCATCACAAGAAGTGGGTTATTGATGTAGACAAATGCTCATGTACCCTTTACAACTCTTTTCATGTATGTTATTACCAAAGAAGAAAAAAAGCCAGTCAGTCACTCAATAATGTCTGACAGTGAAGTCTAGCAAGTAAACAGGTTTCCTTGCATAATTTGAATATGAGGACACTGCTAACGTTTAAATTTCACAGATAGGACATACATGACATATTCATAATTCCTGCAAAGTTCTACAGAATTTGAGATTGGCTGCAAAAGGGACATAGTACCTTTAAAGCCCTGTTGAGATATTAGGCAGTAAACCCATGTGAACCTACGTTCTACACATGAGAGAATGAGAGAATTCTGTATTGAATGCATTCATGTTTACCAAAATTGGAAACTTAAAATCCCTACAGTAAATGCATGTTATTCACATGTTTACAATTCAATTTGGGCGAGGGAATGAGGGCTGTGGTTTATTTAGTGATATGTATATCTATTCTGTATGTTCGAAATGCAGTTATGAATTCAGTCTAAATGAGTTTGTTAATGTCAGGATATTCACTTCTCCTCTGAGAAAGTCAATATAATTCACTGCTCTGTAAACTAAGCTGTGATATTCCAATAACAAAGAAGAAATAATAAAAGAAATTATGATTATGTCGTCTTAATCTTTTTACTTTGCCGGTGCCAGAACATCATCATTACAGCTACTCAACTATTATTACATGTTCTCTATGCAGTGTATTGAAGTCGGCATATTCTCTTTAGTGTTTCATGTCAATCTTAGTGATTTGCAATATCTCAAGATAATAATTCTTTTTTTTTTTGGGGGGGGGGGGGGGGGGGGGGTTAAAGAAATGACACTTCAGGGACCTGTTTCATAAAACTTGTTACCAATAACAATTCCTAAATTTCTATGACAAATTTAGTCTCAGCAAATCAAATCTCACAATTTCAGTAGCTTATAACAGTTATTGTAACTTGTTATTCAAGTTCAAGTTCAAGTTTTATTTCCACATCTGATTTAAAAAAAAAAAAGTACAATTTATATGCATATACATTCATGTATATACATTAACAAACGTTAAAATGAAACATCTTCAATGTAAATCACAATGTGGTGGGAAAAAACAAAGGCCAATGGCCTATCAAGGTTATTCCCAGAGATAATAAAATTTACTCAAAAAGTTTCTTAAATGGTATTGATGACAGGTTTTTTGAAAAAGGGTCCAGAGCATGCTGGGTGTTGTCCAAGGAAGGCTGGTGTTTTTATCTGGTATGCTGCCCTCTCATGGTGAGAATATGGACATCCCAGCTTGAGCTGAAAACACAACCTACTGTCTTCTTCAAGAGGGGTTCTATTTATCAGATATGACTAGAGAAGACTTTCAATGGAACTGTTATAGTTGCACACACTCTTGAAAATGCTGACGGATTGTTTCATTATTTTGTTTACATACAAGTAAAATAAGTACTGGTAATAGACATAGATCACAACGGTGTAGCCTTATCACAAATTGTTCTGACAATAAAAAGAATAGTGATTGGAACATACTAGATTTATGCTTTGTTATACATGAAGCGTGGAAATATTGGCTTACTGGTGATAATGGTACAATATATGAAAAATGTGCTAGATGAAAGGAGAAAAGGAGTATAATGTAGTAGAAACGCACAATTGAGAGAGAAAGAAAGAGGGAGAGAGAGAGAGAGGGGGTGGGGGAGCAAGGGAGAGAGAGAGAGAGGGGGAAGGGGGAGGGGGGAGGGAGCAAGGGAGAGGTGGTTGGAAAGACTGCTAGATTGAGGGACATCGAGACAGGTAGATAGGGGTAAGGAGAGAGATGGAGAGAGCAATGATTGTTGGAGGAAACCTGGAATATGTCACAGATTCCCGTCATCAAAACACAATGACAAACATTACAAAGAAACTGAAAAACACTGCCTCCCAAAGGACAGTCCGGCTTCTAAATTCATATCACATGTCCGTTCTTGGAAGATTCCTGTAATCTGTAAAATAATATTTGAAGATTTCCGCGTATTATTGACGGGGGTCGATTCGTCACATAAAATAATAACAACAATGTTTGATTAATAGATGTTGAACCGATGGCTGAAAGTGATTTGCTTAAAAAATGGAAATAAAATGAATAAAAATCGGTTATAATAATATAAATCGATATCTAATGATTCTTCACCGTTTTCTGTTTTTTTTTGGGGGGGGGGTGGGGTGCGAGCCTCTCTCTCTCTCTCTCTCTCTCTCTCTTTCTCTCTGAGAAGCAGTAACAAAAGTGAACGAAATTGGACAAAAATAAGAATGTTATGAATTTTTGAAAGTTGTAATCACCATACGTATTGGAACTTCAACTAGCTAAATCGGTAATGTCACTGTGATGTAGTGCCTGAAAACTTTCCTTTTTGTTCAAACACAAAATGACTATAATGTGATTATTTTTTCTCAACATTTATGACCCGCGACGGTATTTTCTTTTTAGAGGCCTATTAGACTATATTATCCACAATAAATTTAGAGTAGTACCCCAAGGGAGGAGGCCTAATTTGAGATTCACATAGCTATAGTGATCTCATATTTCAAACATACATTCATAACTATCTTATTTTAACCTTTCGCTTTTCTATTTCTCTCATTTGTTCTGCTTTCATACATAATATTTATGAGCTTATTGCAAGGGTTGGCTTGTCATTTTAGGGAGATGTGGAAAGCAAGAATTGTGATATAACCTGAAAAGGGGCATTCTACGAACACTTTCTAAACAGCATCGATATACATGTACTGTGGCTTCGTCAAAAAGTGGCATTTGTACAAGACAAAAAGTCAATCAATCAAACATGCATTTACGGGTGCAGACACAAACTAGGCTTGATTCAGTTCAGAGCGAACTTATGAGAAAAGGGCAAAGGGATATTGGAAAGACTTTTCTTGCTCCCAAAACAAATATGCGTTAGCAGAGCATTGGAGGGTCTTGTAAACATTTACTAGGGGAAACAGTTAACCCGTTGTGACGTGACAGACATGCATGCGACATTTTACAGAAACAAATCTACAAGTACGTTCTCCCTATTCTGATACATAATGCCCCTTGAACACGTACGCCGATGCGTTATTTTGACTGCGCTATTGAATTACTAACGGTTATTAAACCAATGGAGACTATTACTTCATGTGCCAATATACTCAACATACTGTTGCGATGTTCACTTTGCATCCATTGCGGTGTCAATATTGCGCATTTGCGCGACAAAGATAGTGATATTCTTTGACGCAGTCGTGCGTTAGCTAAATTAATGACGTCTCGTTTACGTCAGACATTACGGCCGTTGCACACGAGGCGTCAATGTATTTGCTTTACTACCTGCGCTAATGAATCTTTTGAATCCAATCAATCAATACTCTATAGTAATTCAACTCAATGTGTTCACTGTAAATTTTGAAGTCACTTTTCCACAATTTTCACTTTGACGCAACGTGTTAAGGAGTCAATGACGCAGTACTAAGTCAGGAAAGTGACACTTTGTGTGCAACATTGGTTTTATGATGAGAAAATGAGTCATGGTCCAGTCGTGCAGGCAGTAGTAACGATTGAATAACTGAAAGCCAGGGACCGGACAAGCAAGCGTAATGTAAGCACACGTAGTTTAAATGCAGATTATCATGTATACTATATTTACAAGAGCGTATCCTATTGGATGAAGAGCCATATCATGTGACTTTAGAAATCAACTACATTACAAATGTGGTCATGACCATTCTTGCTTTTTATGCACTATTATTATACAAAAGTAGAAACTGCGTGTAGATGCGAAAAATTCTGACTAATGACATGTGACTTAAAGGCCCACTGCACTACTTGTAGCTACTTCCGCCCTCTATATAACAAACAATGCCTAATCGGTGACCATTGGTCCCCCATGATCCTCTTTTTCTTATGTTAACTGAGAGCTGTGTTGATGAGATAACCACCTGTCCAGTGACCTTGCAGGGCGCTCTAATCCCTCCTGTAAACTACGGCAGATAAGCTTTAAAACTAAATAAAACAAAACAAATTGCGACTGCGTATCATTTTTAAAATGAAATAAATAGTTTAGTTAACATTGAGCTTTGTCACCTTATATGGAACGAAGTGGGTCTAGATTTTGATACAGAATATTGTACAAGATGAGTTCAACGAACAGAATGGTCTTAAAACCTAGAGTGAGTATAACTTTCGGCATCGTGATAACTTTAAGGGTAGTGCTAAGATGAAAGTGGTTTTTCCAAATGTTGAATCCTTGTATTTACCATTGTTTTAGGGGATCTGGGTTAACAAATGAACCTAATTAGTATTCAAGCTTAGTAGAATAGTACAACCTGGTGAACTCTTAGACCCGAAGGATAACTCACGTGGCTATTTGCACATGTACTTCAGCAAACAGAACGGTCAGATGTTTATTTGAAGCAAATGGAAAGCTTTTTTTTTCTATCGTGGTTTCGTGGCCTGCATTGTATCGCTGCAGGCAATGCTTTTTAAAAGACGAATATTTGCAGAAATCTTTAGCGATGCAGCATTTGATTTCTTCACACTTCATATTCCCAGTTTCTATATGTTTACTCTGTGATAATGTACAATATCAACTCTTACAAGTGGTCCCGGTCCTCTTTGTGGTAACATTATCAAGAGAGTTTGTGGCACTGTGTCTTCACCAGCAAGATTCCAAGAAGGGTGGGGGTACTTATAAACATTTTATCTAACATATTTTGTGAGAATCTCTTTACTAATCAAATTGGTGTGATTTTGAATTATCGAAACGAAATACATAAGATCAACGACGGGAAAGGTGGAATGTATATTAGAAAGAGAACTATTCCCGTTATTTGGATTTGGTTGATTGATTAAGAAAGCGTTTAATTTTGAGCTAGTCCACATTTTGGTCCTTATTGCCATTGTTTTCAGAAAAAAAGGAGAAAGAAGAAAGTATTTATCATTGCAATCATGAAAATGCACCAAAGTAATGCTAAAAGAGCAAAGAAAAATCCCCCGAAGTAGCTAAGGGTTGGGGCTGTCAATATTATCGCCCTTAATGATCTCTCTATTCTTGAAATTGCCCTTTTTAAGATAACAGCCCCTCCCCCCCCCCCCAACTCAGCTGAAACACGATCGCTGAGACCTTCACGGTTTTACAATTCAGACATTATACAAATATACACTGTCTTGAGAGGTTCTGGTTGAAAATATGTGGCAAGAGGTGAATCCAATAGTACGAAGCAAATGGTACTTTGGAAGTCACCGAGGGACCTTAGTTTTAATCCAGAGACTCGAATAAAAGCAGTTTATGTTTCTTTTACATACTTCATTCATATATTCATTCATAGGATGTCAACAGAATGTCATATTCTCATATTCAATGTCGAAGTAAAATTTACTTTAATATTTTACGCACTGCGACATGAATACTGTGTTAATATTTCATAGCCGTCAATAGCACTTTTAATTGAGGGGCTATTTACAAAGTAGTGTGTTTATTTTTGATCATATGACACACTTTTAACCAATCAATGAACAAGAATATATGAATGACGTACTATAATGTTTTTTTTACTTACGCACCGCGGACTGACAATGGTTTTTGCCTGCAAAGTATTTACTAGCGGGGCAATGCCAGGGATTAAACCTCAACGTGATTGGGTCATTCTGGCTTACGTCACGATTAGGTAATCCGCCTCCGGGCCAGACTCATGATTCTATGCCACTATCATCGATGTCAAGATACCAATATTCTGATCAACTTTAGACTCTTTTTAGCACTGATTTTCAAGAAATTGCCTTGAGACGTTTGTGGTGTCCGTAGCAAATTGTTTATAATTCATCTCTAACTTTATCGTGAGAAGGGATAAGGGGGAGAGGGGAGACGGAGAAAAATACAGCAATAGATCCAGGGAAGAAGAGGGATGGAGATATAAGAGAGGGAGAGGGAGAGAGGGAGAGAGAGAGAGAGAGAGAGAGAGAGAGAACACAAAGAGAATTAAGATGATAGAAAGAGAGCAGTAGAGAAGATAGAAATACAAAGAGAGACAGAGAGAGACAGAGAGAGACAGAGAGAGACAAAGAGAGACATAGTTGAAGAAGGTTCATAAACATGTACGTCACCAATCCAAATATTATTGCTACATCTATTATCAGGAAATTAGCTCGATCAGCCTTACGGCAAATCGTCTTTGCCTGCCAAAACAATTTCTCTTCTTTCCATGAACCCGCGTATAATTTCGCGCTCACTTACCTATTCAGAATTTTGCATGTAGTTACTTCGAGGTCCAATACGTGTTATTTTCGTCACTTTCTCTAATCAAAATAGAAACAATAATTGGTACGCTACACTGATATGTCATTAACTCTACAATGAATCCATTCGCGTAATAAGACTTCAAAATATAGGTGTAAATAGGCTTCCGTCTCGTCCCTGACAACTCCGCAGACAATTGGGGAGAAAACAAGATATTGCGGGAAAATATCAACGCTACGCAATTATAAACGCAATAAAGGATTACAAGACCATACGGAGCCGATTTGAATTACAGTTATCGGAATTCATAGATTGCCTTTATGACTTGTGAAATAACTCATTATCGCTGGTAAGATTGAAACCATTACGCTGGCAGCTGCCTGCAAAATCACCTGATCAGACCCATGCAGAAAGATGTTAACTCCCAGCTAAGACTGTTAAAGTTTATGACCTAACGCCCTTTTGGCTCCAGACAGGTGTTATCATCTCATCGTTATCCAAGTCCATTCTCGAACCAATGCTTTACTGCTTCATATAGCATTCTGCATGTTGGCATTCGTTTTATATGAGTTTTGACCTTTTGATAATTATTAGTCAAAATTTGAAAATATTTATAAAAAAAACATACTCTATTGTATATCATTTCCATATGTTGGCTATCATGACAAAAATAGAAGTGGTTCTCGATATATATATTTTACAATTAAAATTAAAAAAATTGACAGTTAAAAATGAGATTGCAACATTAAGAGGTGGCATTTGTAATTTTGATGTCGTCTTGTCAGGTGACAAAGGACATGTGCCGTGCCAGGATTCGAGCCCACGTCCTTCGTTTTCAAACCACTCGACCAATAGTCAAGTGTATCATGAAGACGATCACAGCCAATTACTTTCGAAAAATCACTAGGGCACTTTCTAAGGCCTTGTATGTCATTTTTTGTAATGTGCGATCATTATTACGTAATATAAACATGCTTTCAATGGGCTTTATAATAGGATACTGCAGTCGCCCTTGATTTTAATTGTCAAAAGTCTTGCGACCTTTTTCCATTTTCTCTATAACACAAAGTAAAAAAGAGTAATGTTATCATAGTGAGAACACAGTACATCATTTTTTTTAAAGATATATATTTAAGGTAAGCAGTAACAGTTACATGAAATTCAGATTTCAGAATTATGATAACACAGTCAAGTTGTTGCCGGGATGAGGTATCACTAGTCAGGGTGCGTGTCATGATGATGATGGTAAGGGTGAAAGGGATTGTGGCGATGATGATGGGGATTATGATTTTGGTGATGATGGTGACAAAGGCGGTGATGATGATAATGGTGGTGGGGATGATGTTGGTGATGTAGATGGTGGTGGTGATGATGACGATGGTATTGATGACGATGATGATGATTATGATGATTGTGGTGGTGGTGATTATTACAATGATGGTGATGATGATGATGATGGTGGTGATGATGATGATGATGATGGTGGTGGTGGTGGTGGTGATGATTTCGATGGTGGTGGTAGTGATGTACATGGTTATAGGACGCGTTGCTTGTTACTAGTGATGAAAGTGATTGGTAGTGGTGATGGTGTTTATGGTGGTCGTGGTGTTGGTCCTATTAAGGATGCTGGCGATGGTAGTGATAGGTACAGATAGCGTGTGTGGAGGGGGTAATAATTATGGTGGTGGTGGTGAAATTGCTGTCGATGTCGCTGGTGTGGTGGTTATGGTGGTGATGGCTGTTGTGTTGCTATAGCGATGATTGCCGCGGGTGGTGGTGATGGTTGTGGTGCAAAGGTTGTGATGGTGTTTGGTCTTGGTAGCATTGGCAGTACGAGTACTTGTAGTGATACTTGTGTTGGTGGCGATGCTTTTGACGATAGAGGTTCTAGAACTGGTGGTGGTGCATGATATTGATGAGAGGTTTTGATGATTTCGATGGCTATTTTTTGTTAAGAGTTTTGGATTGATGGTAGAGGATGGTGTCTAACACGAATATAGCCTTTGTTTCAAAGTTTGACTCTCACTTCCAGATTGTATATTTTAACATTGACGCTATTAATAGAAACAAAACCCGGATAATTATAAAAAGGAAATTCTGCCAACTCAAAAGGAAAAAAAGAACGAAGAAGAGATGAAATGAAGAAATACAATTCCGGCATCAATTACAGTTCATATCCCATCTATATCATTTTCACCTTCCATCTTATACATTCTTGCCCAAGTTCCATTAATTTTCTTTCAAGATCAACGCAGTGCTACTTACATGCCAAGGGAAATAAGTGTTCTTTATTCTAGAAAGAAATCCCACTTGGTTCTGCATATCTTAGAAAACCTTCATCAGATAATTATTAGCCGCAAACACGTAAACGAAGCTCTCCTTTCGCCTTCGGATGAAAACTATAATCTAATTACACCACCGCTGGTCATGGTCCGAAAAATTGCCCGAACCCCATTACACAATCATTCTTTTTATGTCCTCTCTGTGAGGATCTAGTGATACCTGAAACGTCTTAACTGTCGAAAGATGAAAATAGATCGGGCTTCTGGAGTAGATTCTTAAGTCATACAGGCATTATATTAATCTCATTGTATCTGGAGCATTAACAAATGCAAACAGCGATTCAGGGCTTGTGAATGCTATGGACACAAAAGCCTTAGGCATTTATATATTCCATTTATACCGATAATGTAAACAACACCAGTTTTGTAGTATTAATATACATTAATGTTTCCATCCAGAGTGAGCTGATATTAGTATTTTTAGGATTAGAAGGATCTTCATCAAACAAACTCTCCTTTGAGCTCTGGTGGATATTGTATTTCGAATGATCTAGGGAGCACAATCAGTATGATTATTAATGATATACGATACACGTTTGGGGCAACCTGGCATAGGACGTTTGTTGGGTACTTGAAAAATTGAGCGCCGAAAAAATGTTCACCTTAAAGGTAATACACAATTTTGGTATGGGGTCATGAATTTGGTTCAAATGAACATCTTTGAAGCATATTGGGTCTAAAGTGAGCTCCTTCTCAAGACTGATATTACTTTAGCTTTAAAACAATGTTTCTTGACTATAATCGACCAATTTACTATTCCCGTTTGGAAATTATATATCAGAACTGCATACTCTGAGATTTTCATGATCACAGCTACCATGGAATAGCCTTAGGCGCTATCTGAAATATTTGAAATATACCAGGAGCACTGGTAAGTTTTGATTATTCAATTTCTCGAAATCAGAAGTGTTTTAGGGCTAAATTTTCTAGTGCTTATAAATAACCTACAGGGGCACATGATGTCGGGCCTTACTGGGCTACTTTACATTGATTTACTTATCTATCTATGCTCATTACTGGGGCCCTACACATTTTCTTCCAAAATTGTTTGGCACATGTCATGTTTTTGTTGGTAATCTTAACCATTCAGTGTAAGTTTTGTTGGATTCTGTGCGAATTTATTTTCTATCATTACCAGAACTCAACCCTATCTTTAACTCCGATCAGCATTGCATATAGTCAGGCACGTAGCCACGGGGGGGGGGGGGGGGGGGGCACGGGGGGCACGTGCCCCACCAAAATTTCCAAGATCGGTTGAACGTTTTTAGACCCCCTTTTTTTTCCTCGATCGATTACATGTATGTGCCCCCCCCCCCCAAAAAAAAAAAACAACAAACAAACAAAACAAAACATCAAACTCTGGCTACGTGCCTTTATTTCACTAGAAGTCACCCTGTCTATGAACACGATTAAAAAATCTTTTTATTTTCCAAATTATTAGCTTTCAGTTCGTAAAGTCAGTTCAGATGCTGAATCAAATCATTCTTGGAAATCCAACGGTGACATAAATCATAAATCATAATTATATTTCGCCTTTTGTTTAATTGCATAAAAGCCATATACTCTTCAAGTAGTCTCTCGACATCGACAAAAATTACCTCTTAACCTCTTCATAAATTATTTTGTGACTTGAGGCGTTTCCAACCGTTATTAAAAATCACGATTTCCAAACGATGACGTAATATGAATCTTTGCAAAAAATTGCTCCGTACAGATCATTACTAAAACCAATTTCCACACCAATTAACTATTGCGTAACCACAAGGCGGAATGTATAACCCTGTATGACTTAACTCTGACATGTAAGTTGGAAATGTTTACACCTTTTACAATAGAGTTGATAATTAGAATCACGCGTTTAGGGTATGACGTAAAATGTTCCTTAAACAGATTCGACATTACGATAATAGAAGTTCGTTATTTAAACATTATGTTATTCCGTTCGTCTATTCGTACTGTCCGTTGCTTTTGTTATGCCAAATTATGTTATTCTAAGTTTTGAGAGTGCGTTATTTCGAATATTTGTTATTCCAGTTGTTCATCTTTCTAAAATCGTGTTTTTATGAATTTCCGTGATTTCAGACACTTCTTTACTTTCGTGATCCTGTTAAAACACGATCTCAACTATTTTCGAAAAAAGTCAACTCGAAGGGAATTCCCCTATCCTATTGTACATCCCATAGAAATAATGTTTTGATTTCAGTAGGGGATGACGCACATGCAAGGCTATCGGAATTTCCTCGGGTTGATGTTTCGAAATTAGTTGCGATCGTGGTTTAAAGATAAAGGTGAGTTCTGGTTAAAAGAAAAGAAAAGTAATTCTCACAGAATCAAACAAAACTTACACTGAATGTTCAAGATTACAAATAAATGTCATTTGCCAAACAATTTTGGTAGAAATGTATTCTGGCTGAGTAATGAGCATATTAGGAAATCAAGGTTAGTAGCCCCGACACCATTTGTGTAGTCCCATATGCATCTGTTTGTGCACATAGTGCTTGTTACTTTACTGGGCCAAATTTAATATGATTTTGATGACTCTAGAACTTGCAGTACACACCAATACTTACATGCTACATGATCAACTTTTTCTAAACCATTCCACACCTTTTCTTTCACAATGCAATCGGATGACCAGAACTCACCTTTATCTTTAAGTATACCTCATTTCAGTTTTATATTGATGATGATGAATGAAATTAGTAGTCCATGACCAATGATGTGGTGTTCTTAGCAAAATATTAAATGACTGGGCTGATAAGGCTCGTTCAGCTATGACGCGTAACCCCCCCCCAAAAAAAAAAAAAAAATTAAAAAAAAAAAAAAAAATAAATAAATAAATAAATAACTACATTTTAAAAAAATGAATAAAAAATAAAATAAATAAATAAAAATGTAAATAAATAAAAAAATAAAAATAAAAAAAATTAAAAAATTAAAAAAAAAAAAAAAATTTGCTGCGAGTTGTGTAAATGAATGGCAAATGCCCTCAAGAGAGGCCATAACAAATTTTTTAAAAAATAAAACCTCCGCAATTTACGTTGCCTCATATCACAACGGAGTATCAACCGATCCGCCAGGCAAATTTGGTGACGGAACAAATCCGCCACGGGACCATGTCTTTCGTAACGCCAGCAAAAGAAATACAGACTAATGAATGTCTTTCTCCAAACATCGCAACGTGTCAAACGTATTGTTTGTTTAGTCTTAACGAGTTGTCACCTAACTGTCATCCGTCATGAAACTGACAAAGAGTGGTTTGAGAAGACATTTCTTGAATTTCGTCGCCATTATTGTATCTATTACACGAAACTGTTTTGTCAAAGCATTGTGCCAAGATTTTAGAAATTTCGTTTGTTCACACTATTATTCGGGCAGGAAATCATGTGATTCGAACTTCGGCTGTTTAGACATATAGGAAGATACGGATGTTTTTATACATACTCACTAATTAGGAGAGACAGAAAGAGAGAGAGAGAGAGAGAGAGAGATGGGGAGGGAGAGAGTGAGTGAGAGAGAGAGAGAGAGAGAGATGGGGAGAGAGAGTGAGAGAGAGAGAGAGAGAGAGAGGGAAAGAGAATGAGACACAGGGAGAATGAGTTAAACTTTGTTTTTCCAATCTGCAGTTTACTCGTCTAAACAAACATTGTAACCAAAGACAAATTGATAACAAGACAATCTAAACCAGTCGTCTGACAAACATAATCCAATGTAGATATCGTAGAAACATGAGCAAACATGATGAATGCTATACGGTCTGAATAAACGAGAGAGGGAGGGGGTAGGGCGTGGGGGGAGATGGTGCAAACAGTGTAACCTGGATAATCAGGATTTTTTTTTAAAAACTCGGGATAAATATAACTATGCAATATTATCAGCGAATTAAACAACTGCTGCAGTGGTCAAACAGCTTGTGAGCGTCAAGTAACGCCCGGCTGGAATGCTCCCCAGGGAGTGGAGATTGTGCACACAGTGTGTGCGGGCAAGCACTGAATCCAATGACCGGGGTAATAGTATATTTGTAAAGCGCTTAGAGACATTTGTATTAAGTGCTATATAAAAATTAAATATTATTATTATTATTCAACTCTCTGAACTGCATGACCTATTTTTACTGTCGTTATGAGATTTTGATTCAAAGTCTATTTCCTATGTTTCTATCGACATTTTCAATAATTCTCCGAACTAAAAATTGAACAGATGCAATAATTAGTAAAAGAATCGTTTAACACATTTCAAGCGATTTCATAAGTCTTAAGAGAACATTATTTTATATGAAGTTTTGTATATACTCTCCCCCATTTTCTCAGCCCCCTCATTCGCACATTATTTATTTTAGCCTACATTGGCGTCCTGACGGCATCAAAGACCAAGAGCAAATAAGTAGCCAGTGCAATTTTTTCAGAGAAAAAAAATGTTTATGTTTCAACATTTGACATTTGACGCGATTTGCTCTTAATTCGCGAGTTGGAGAAATATATATTTTGTTATGTTTCTCTGTTTTATAGACTAAACACTCACAAAGATGATTGTCCTCGTGGTGATTGACGG